AATAATAATATTATATATAGGTTTAGCTGATGCTAAGGTTTGATACCAATACCACCAATTGCTGTCTCCATACCTCCGTCTATTGAATGTTGTCCAATCCCAAAGCTGATAGATCTATCCAAACATAATTCTTCCACCTTCACTTCATTCTAAGCTTGCCAATTGGCACAGCTCATATTAACCTTTTGGGGGATTCACTCGTCACTAAATCCAACAAGTTTAAATGCTCATTTTAATTGTTGCTAAGCTATCATCTCAATTATATTCATCAGATACAGTTCGCGCAATTCAGAGGTCATGATGACCAAGCGTATTAAAAAATAAAATAAACAATAACATTCTCGAGTCTAGTGACTTCAGTTGAAATCCGTCTTAGACATTTTGAAATTTATTTCGAAGCCGGACCACAGAATCATTCTCGACATCTTCACTTTGGTTAGCATAAGTTTGGTGTTGTTTCCTCTAGAATTAAAAATAGATTACAGTTATTTAAAGAGTTTAATTTTATTTCTCTATTTATTATTATATACAATCTTCCTTACTAAAAAAACAAACAAATAACATACTATTTATGGGTTATTTAGACATCTTAATGTTCTCTCAAATTCCAATTTTTATTTGACTGTAGATTGAACTATTTAATGTAATTTGACCTATTTAAATATTCCTCATTTAAAAAGTAGTAATCATGACAAGTGTGTGTTAATTTTTGAAAACAGTTAAAACTCATGGACAAGGATGGTAAGGTTATCGAACCATCTAGAGGATGACATCTCTAAGTGGCTTTGTATTAGTAACCGTGATAACTTCATATTATGGTAAAAAAAAATTATTTATTAGCTATTGGGTTGGGTAATGGTGTCACTATTTTTATTTATTTATTTTTTCGTGCATGCTCAAATGCTCCCCAATTCAACACTCAAGCGCAAATATTTATTTTTGTTTATGTACTAGCTATATTATGTTGCTATTATTTTTAAGTTGCTTTACTTATTGTTAAATGCTTTCATGTGATGAAACCTTCTTTTTATTGTTAATGTCCATTTTTACTATTAGATCAATAGTTACATTGATTCACAAATTGTTTTTATAATAAGGTTTGTTATGATAACTTTATTTGTAATGTTTGTACATATTGCAAATAATTTACTAAGTAATTTCAAATCAATATCAATGAATAGTAATTATATTTCTTTATAATTTCTACTCTTAAACCTCTATATACAGATGATTAATTATTATACAGATGATAAAAAGAAATCCTTTATTTTAACGAGTTTGTTTTATTGATATAACAAAGTTGAGAATTTAGGTGTGAAATTAAAAAAAATAATGTTAAATTTGTGAGAAATTAAAACTAATACAATTTAAAACCAGTTCTTTGAAAATCTGTCCATTTGAAATCTTAATATGGTTACTATGGTTTACTGAGAAGAACAGGTCATTAGAGATCTAAGTATAAGAAACTGTTATTTCGGGAACATAAGGAAACACTAGTTAGTAATGATTAAAAGAATCATATTCCTTTTTCTAAGATTTGAAATGTATGGAGTAATAGTCATTGGTTGGTCTTAAGATAAAATTACATTTTTATTGAATTATTTTTTATATAAATTAAATACGTATATATGTACTTATTTTGTTTACATTTTGTGGTGCATTCAATTTTTGCCTTTTAAAAGCTTAATTACATTTTTCCAATCTATGATTTTTTTTACCAATAACTGCTGTGGACTAGTGTTACTTCTTTTTCAAGTTTAAAAATGCCACCACAAGCCTATATTAATATGAAAATTTGATACAATTTTTTTAAGATGCAAAAAACAAATATCAACTTAGTTTCTCCCTAAAAAAAAAATAACTCCCCCCTCTCCACATTGCCACATCATTTGGTCAAATTTGTTGCCATACAATAGCTATATGCAAAATATAATATTTTTTTATAAACCGACCTACTTTCTAGGGTAAAGAACTTTTAGGGATAAACAAATTTGATATCAATTTTTTTTCCATCAAAGAAAAACTATAAAATGAGAATTTTTTCATGAAAGTTTTGTCTAGGCTGGATCCTTTTGAAATTTTGTCTCCAACCACCAAAATTTTGGTAACTTCAGAACGATTTCATTGAATCACACAAAAATTACTAGGGACTTAGGGCTCTGTATGTTATTCAAAATGATGGTATAAACCTGAACTCTGTAAACAACTTAAAACCAAAGATATTCAATAAAAATGTTTTTTTTCTTTATTAATAGCTTAAAAAGGCAGCAACTCAGCTTTCGAAGAATTGTACAAAAACGTTGAATTTGAAAAAAATCTTGAGAAGCTATGAATTTTTTTTCATAGAAAAACCAACCAGAAAATCAAGCAATAAAATTTACAATTTTTGATGTCTATAAAATTTTGTATATATGAGTTTTAAAAGACACTAAAAACGAATAACTTTCTTTCATAACAAAAATTTATTTAACCTACTGTGCTGGAAGCACTTTTTGATTCTTTTTATTTAAGAAACTTAATCACTCATTTAGTATCATAGTCAATATTTTGTTTTTTCTTATTCTGCACAAAAAAAGAAATCGATTGATATATAATTACAACAATCCAGACAAAGCAACGGCAAAAGTTTATAACATAAATTTTGTTTGAAATCGCATAAAATATTTTTTTATCTCGGCCCCTGGGGTGCATTTGCCAGAACCCCCCTCGGGTATACGTCTAATATTTTTTGACCTAGTATCACCAAAAAGTTTCACTCAAATTGGTGATCCTCGTTCATCCGTAACATCCTTTTGTTAGTAAAAGGTAAAAGTGGAATGGGCCTTAAAAGCACTTCACAAGTAGAGGAAGCCTATTTTAAAACTCACTCTGTGCACTATCAGTTATCACTATTAGAAAATATGAAGTATCTTAAAATGTAGAGTATGAAGATACTTATGTATACATTTTAATGCACCTATACAATCATTTCTTTTATATATATGTATGTATATCAATGGCTATTACAATTGTTATTTAAACTACTGAAAAACATTATTATTCACATTTTGGCATGCCTCCTTCAAGTTATGGAAAATACACAAAATCTTGTTATTGGTTTTGAGAAAACTCATATTAAATTACTTTTTTGTTCTTATTTATCACTTCATGGCCATCATGTTTCTATTATGATAATGAAGACAATAACCTACTTGATTATTACAATTATTAATGATAATTATTTTGTTTTGTTTTTTTCAGTTCTTTTTGAAAATTAATGGTCCTGTATTAATAATAATAATTATACATGATAAATGGTAATATGAGTTAGACTTGAAATCAAATTTTATTGTACATTACATCCTTTTTGTATATAAACAGAACGTGAGCAGATAAAAAATGAATTATTACTGGGCTCATAGCAACTAACAATACAATAGTAGCTCAGATATATATTTTTTTTCATAGTTATATTTAATTGTAACATCATTTAATAAAGTGAATTCTCTTTATTTTAATGATTTTCAACTTATTGAATTGAGTTACATTGATCTCAATCCAAGAGTATGCACATTTCCTTTTAACTTAGTGGACCTTGAATAATTCGAATATTTTTACTTCCCTGTAAGTTCCTTGATTCTTTTTATTCAACACAATGTAAAAAAAAGTCTATAATTCAATTTTTAGATTTTTACTGTTAAACAAACCTGGTAATTTATTTTTACGAGAAACTTATAAATACTATTTCCTACATAATTGTATAACCAGCAAGAATAATAATGACAGAATCATCAGTCTCCACAGTTCACATTTTTGATGAATTTCAATGAAGCATCAAAAATGCTTTAGGAATTCATGAAGCATAAATAAATGCGGGAGTTTTGTTTTGCTTAGTTTTACTTTATTTTTTTGGCGTTTTATAATTGCACAAAAATATTCCACATTTTCTCGCGAACATGAACATCAATAAAGTGTATGTCAATGGACTCAATGATCATGGGCCTTTTATAGATAAACTTGTTTCATTCAAAAAATTTCAGTGGTCCTTTTTAACTTGATATTAATGAAATTATACTGTGTGTGTAAATGTATATAAATATTGAACTAGATGTCATGTTCAATCACAATGCGTTTTTTTTTTTTTTTTTTTTAATAATCATTAATGCAATGATTCTTTTTATTATTTTTGATGTAAATATATAAAAAATATAATTATCATTCACTAGATCTCTGTAGTGTTGTTCTAAATTTCAAGTATTGCTAGGAAAAATCATGAATTCCTTATATGATTACCTGAAGGATCTGTTGATAACTGTACTTTTATCTGTTTGTATTGCACAGATGATAAATAAATATTTCATTGCATAACTTAAAAGTATTTGTTTCATTATAAAAATTATTTTAAATGTGAATATTAAGAATATATGTTTTTGTTTTTTCAGGCTGCTTGCATCGAAATAGAAGCTTAAATTTAATGCTCGAAAATTTTGTTTGGTGTGTTGTATTACATCTTGTGATTGACTGATAAAATAAAATGTAAATATGTATATATCAAATATATTTTAATACAATATTTTTACTTAAAGGTAACTTTTGTGATTGATACTTAATCTTCATGTACTTGGTTAGTGCCTTAATTTGTTACCAATTTTTCTGAATGTTATATAAAATAAAATTGTTTTTATATTTTCAAAATAAATGTTTTATATTATTACTTTAATTTATGTAGTGATTTCCTAAATCTTTGCCTATGTCCCAAAGAGTAAAGCTTAATTTAATTTATTTCTTCCATGTCAATTAATTATAAATAACACCAAAATATGTTTGCGACCAGCCAAATTTGATTTAATTTAATTAGTACAAAATTAAATTTCAAGCAGGATTCATAAATGAAATTGTATTTGTAATGATAATATAAAGAGCACTAATTACTTATTAATATTTAGAATATATATAGTAGTTTATTGTATCACATATTTGTTTAACATTAATAAAATTTGTAAGGAATAAAAATGCAAGTTCAAAGAAAAATATTTATTACCATTATTTTATAACAATTAAATGATTCATTTAAGAAACAACTTTCCCTTTGAGGGAATCCTAACAGCCCGCATTTAATATAAATATTAAAATTATTGGAAAACAATTCATAAGGACATAACAAAACTTTATAAATACTTTAAACTGAAAAAGCAGAGTATCTCTATCTACAGGGCAATTTGTTACCAGATGTACTCTGCATTTATTTAGCTGTGTTTCGTTTAATAACGACAGGACCTACATTATCGCCTGTTTCTCTGTTGTGTTTCCCATGAGCACCATCACAATAAGGAAATTTTTCACTTCTCCAACAGCGACAATAAGCAGTTTTTTCTCCTAGATCTTCTATGTTTGCAATGTCTACAACTTTAGCTACTTCTTTCTTGATACATGGATTTATTGCCTACAATTTTGAATACATTTTAAGTTAAAATGTGGACCAAGGATACAAGCTTTATTAATTGTGTGTATTAGTTCTTACCTGTTTTGGTTTTATTGCCCTATAAGTGACATATGATATTCCTCCAACAGCAGCAAAAAAAGGAACTAATGTGGCCCAATCTTTAACTAAAAGATAAGGAAAGGTGGTTGTACTTTCACTAGAATTAAATTATTTAGCAGGACAAATCATGTATACCTATACTTACTTCCTAACTTGAACCAGCCTCCAATCGAATTAGGAATTGGTAAATTTGATAAATAATTTGGAATAGAAGACTTAATTAAAACTGACACTGGCTCCATGACTACACAATACTAATGTGCTTCAGGCAACCTGATATTAGGTAACAGGTTAGGCAGTAATTAAGGAGGAAAAAGTCTGGATGGCTTAGTATTCTGTTAATGCCTAAGGCGTTGTAACTTCAGTAACATTTCTTCCGCAAACTGAATTGCCAAAGAAATGTTGCATTCATGAAAGATCGTTCAACAGTCCAGATATCTTTGGAGGAACAGGTGTGGGTACACTGTAGCTGCTGAAAGCAGTAGCGGATTCAGGACTTAATTTTCCGAGCTTTTTTTTATTAATGTTTTTTAAATTCATATTAATCGACGGTGATTATTTTGAAAGATAAAGAAAGAAACAATATGAAAAGATGAAGGAAGGAGATGGTCCAGGTTGGCGGTCATAAATAGGCCAAATAGTGGCAAACTATTTTATTAAAAGCCAACGTTTCGACCCGACTTTGCAAGTCTTCTTCAGGGCTAGAACGAATAAGGTACAAAAAGATATAGAGAATTGTGGAAGTTGCCTAATTAAGAAAAAAAATTATAAACAATGTGAATAAGCTTATTAAAATTATAGCCAGTAAGTACATTAAAATAGAAACAGAATAAGTTAAGTAACAATATCCTAAACTGAAGTAAATAGATGGTAACAATTGTAGTGTAACATATAATATATGCAAATGTGAGTATACTTCTACAAATCTACAGGAGAGATTGAAAGAAAATGATGTAATATGAAATAATAGACATAAAGGAATGTGGAGAAAGAAAAATTGTTTGTCTTAATGTTAGTTAACTTCCACAATTCTCTATATCTTTTTGTATATTGTCCGTTCTAGCCCTGAAGAAGTCGGGTCGAAACATTGCATTTTAATAAAATAGTTTTGCCGCTACCCTGGACCATCTCCTTTCTTTACAATGCAACGGTCAACTATTAAATATTCAATATGAAAAGATATTTAAGTGGTCTTTGAAATAAAGTTGAAAAACAGATAGTTAACAACAGAAACAACAATCCTTTTAGAAAATTTTGTTAGTAGTTGCATAGGCGTTAAAATTCAAACAGATAACATATTTTGTTTGTTTGAGTATTCCGCTCAGAAACAAATATAGATCAATGAAAAAAAAATCTCCTTTTGAGGAGGCTTCAGCCTGAAAGTCTCCTCACCTTTGCTTCCATGGATCCACCAGAAGCAGAAAAGTCATTTATTGGTTCATATTGCGTATTGCATTATATAATACAAATATTTTTAGTAATATGTCCAAACTATTTTTTAAAAATATATGTAAAACAATGTGTATAATATAATTTAATCTGAGTAAACTTGTAACAATTCTTTAATCACCTCCTCAGATTGTTACCAAAAGTAGACATTTCCACTTCCGGCAGAGATTGTTTTTTCGTTAGTTTTTTGTGGATTCAGTAGTTTCTCAAAGATGTACTCAGTGCCGCCCTTAGACATCCGGCGCCCACTCTCCGTGCTATGACGTCATCTCTCCCCTTTCTAAAAATTTAAATTAATTTCTTAAGCAGTTTTATATTATGTAATATTTGAATTTTATTTCAATCAACAATTCTCTAATACAGTTGCTTTATTGATGTGCTAAAATTAAATAATTTAATACGTTTTTTATTTTTAACAAGTTGCGAGCGCTGCTAAAGTTCGGCCGGCGCTTCCGAAGGGCGTCCCTCCAGATCGGCCCCCGTTGCCCCACTTTAAGGACGGCACTGTATGTATTTATGTGATTCTGTACTCACTTCTGTCAAAAATAAATACCATATAGAAAAGTGAATTTAATGATTATTTTTTAAAGTAAGTAAATATCAAGGAATGATGTAAAAAATCGTTTTCCTGTCACTTTGCAAACAAAAGTGTACATAGCTTTGTAAGTTAGCTTTTCTATTTAGTAATAATTTGATTAACTATCAATTTCGCTCAATAAATTTCTACGGCAGAAAGAAACCATACACTAAAAAAAAATTCTAACTTATCAATTTTATAATAAGGAATGGTATAATTTATTACAGTGATAAAAGATTCTATAATAACATCAATGATCCTATTAGTATTAATAATCGATATTAATAGTAGGATACAGAGATTTTTTTAAGGAGATATAAATTATAAGGAGGTAGCATGCCACCACAATTCTTTTTATAATTACTTTTCTTGGGTGGGACCAAACCCTACAGATAACAGGATTGGCTACCCTAACAACGGTTCGCCAAACCAACATTACGACTTAAAGCAGATCTTAGACAGTATTTCAAATGAAGTGTTTTTGAAATACATTTTTTATTTTAAGAAGTAAATATACCATATATACGCTCAAAATAAACCACCACGTTTAGTGTATTCCCTCTATCTACATTTTAAAATATGTAACATACTAATAAATGTAATTTTCATCTCAAATAATTGTTTCTATAGAAAATTTAAAATGCAGTTTTAAACCACAAAGAAGCGCCTATGACCTGATTTTCGTAATGAGACTGCCTCAGAAAAGGTCGTAGAAAAGAATTAAGAGGAGTATTTACCTGTTTTGTAGACTTTATCCGAGCATTCGGTAAGGTCATAAAAATGGAAAAAAACAAAGCACTGAACGAGCATGAAGTCGATACAGGCTTAACAAGAGCCATTCTTAGCCTCTTACAAATAAAATGTAAGAGGTGAGAATCAAATACCATTTATCTAGGGAGTTTCAGAGCACCTATGGAATAAGACAGGGCTGTAGTCTTAGCGCATTGTTATTTATCATAGTGCTCAACATGGCACTGAAGAGAGCTAAGGAGAGAATGAGACCACTTAGATTGGGCCACAGAGTTAAGACCAATTCATCTCACTGTTCTGGCATATGCTGACGATATTGTGGTATTCGGGTAAAATGGAAGAAACCTCCATGTCCTGTAGGAAAAACTAGAACTGCTTAACATGGAAGCGAAGATAAAAAGTGGAGACGGAAGGACAGACTGAGTACTTCGATTGAAAGGAGAGGAACTGGAGTCCATCAAAGACTAAGTATTTGGGTGCCCATCTAAATGAGAACCGCTTGATAGACTCAGTTGAAATCATAGAGAGAATAAGACTGGCCAGAAATACTTCCATCCATTAAAAACAGGCTCCTTTGCGAAGAGAGAAGTATTGAAACTATGCATAAAACTACATTTGTCCCCATACTGACCTACGGCTGTGAATCCTGGACTATTATCTCAAAAAGCACAAAAGGAAAATTGAAGCAATGGAAATGCGGTTTCCGGGAAAAACTAGAAGGGGCAAAATTAGGGAAACAACGGCATGAAGCAATCTGGGAGTAAAATCAGAAGACAATACAACAGTGGAAAACAGACTACTCTGGTTTGGCCGTGTCAAAAGAATGCAGGAGAGAAGCACGGCCAAAATCATGTATGAAGTGAAAGTGGAAAGAAGAATGCTAAGAGGAAAGTCCAGAAAGACTTCGTAGAGTTCAGTCAGAGAGGATTTCGATAGGAGACAAATGAACAGGAATAGATGCGGTCACCTTGTGCAAGAAAAAGGTAAATGGATCAGGCTCTATAAACAGGATCCTCTAAACTGATCTCCATTAGAAGATGAATAAATTAAAAAGTAGTAAATTTAAATACTTTTTTATGTTGAAACAATCCTTCTTCTCTGATATAATTAAAACCTCCTTGGAAGTTTGATTGATATCCATGTATGTTGGAAGTAAACAACTCGTGATTGTCCTCATCGTTGTCAGATAAGATATTATTTTATAAACAACCAAACATTATTTATTAGCAAAGATTATCGACTGCAATAAAATTAACATTGAGGATGTTAACATTAGTAGACAGAAAAAATACGATATAAGTTTTGTATGTATCTCATTCAAATCTTAAAAAAACCTACAATCAATATTTATTTGCGCCTGATTATTAATTTTTAATATTTTCATCCATATCTAAGCTTCTTTATTAATTATAATGAAGTAATTCTGATTTTTAAGAGATTTTAATAATTATGGACCATCCATCCTTTCCTTGCTGTCTAAGGAAATTTATTTTTGTGTTGATCTGTCAGTGTTCTTTCTCGATTTCGAAGATCACATTTATTGCTGAAGCTGAAAAGTTGCATGCTTTCAGCTTATTGATTCATCCCAACTTCTTATTAATTGACTTGTTTTTATTGTATGTGATATCTGATTTGAGTGTAGCCAAATTCCTAAACTCAGTGCTGAGTAGATTGATGGCATCGTTTTGCCCAACTCCTTAACAAATCTGATATTGATGAACCCCGCACTGAGTTTAGAATTTGCTCTTTTATTAAGTCATTCATAGATCATGATGAACATGATGCACAATCCCAATATATGATCCCGAAAGAGTTGATCTTTATCAATAGTACTTGTTGTTTCTGTTCCTATTGATTTGAAAGAGATCCCGATTTTTAGAATGACTCCTTTGTTCAAATATACTTATAAATTATGTTGAAAAAGATGCTGCTTCTGAACTATAATTGGCTGTTTATTTGTAATTTGTTAAAATGAATAAATTTGTTTTATGAACTTTATGAGGTTTTTAAGTAAACCTTTTCTTCAAAATATTTATATGAGAAATACTTTTACAGATATTATTTAAAGTGCCTAGTATATCAACAAAATGGATATTGACACAGAGAGTGTTCTTAACTTGATGTTTCCAGATGGAGTTTCAGGTATATTGACTTCCACTAATTTGAAGTATTGATTGTTTTTGTCTGGTCAAGTTCTTTATTTGTCATCTACATTTATTTCAGATGCTTGGACTGATAATCCTGATTTCAACAACTATCTTTCCAAACTGAGTGTTTACAATTTAGAAAAGCTATGTAAGTTCAAAATTTAGTGATTTAACAAACGATAATTTGATAATGATTAACAGTTATTACAGAACTTTCTTACTAAACTATCCTTATTTTGATTAATTTTTAACTGTTGTGTATATGATTTTTTTTTTGTTTGTGTGTTATGAAGTGAAAACTATCTTCAAATAAAATATGCAATTAGTTATATGTCATTAATGAGAACCACGTTCTCCTAATATTTAGAAATTTAATTTTGGATGGCCCAGGTTTACTGTCATCATATTTGATAAGAATGATTTATGATTCGTCCATTATGTCTTGAACATTTGTTATTAAACTCTGTTATTAATTTCTGTTTCTTGATTATCAAGAAAAACAATAGATGATCATATCAGTACTATGAATAATTAAGGAAATTAGTAAGTTTAGTGCACAAAATAAAAATTGGAAATGGTAATGAGATATATCTTTTAATCTATTAATTTTAAGGTAAAGAACCTGACCATTTAGACATTGAAAAGATGTCTATTCTTAATCAGACTCAAGAATTAGCTTTTGCCAATTATAAGACTTTTATAAAGACTGCAGAGTGTTCAAGAGAGTTATTCAAGCAAGTAAATTTTCTATCAATTTTTTAAATCTTTTTTTCTAATAATAATTAATTATTTGGTACAACAACTTTGTTTTCTAGTTCCAGAAAATCGAATCGCGTCTTAATTCACTGATTTCCCATGTACCTGACTTTACAACAGGATGTGAATCCTTGCTTCGACAATGTTCCTCACTTGAAAGTGATCGGCAAGCTAGCAGTCTTGCTTTAAAGAGACATTCTGATCTGTTACAAGTTCTTGAACTTCCTCAACTTCTTGAATCTTCAGTACGATCTGCTCTTGTGGAGGAGTCATTGTCACTTATTGCATTTGCTCAAAGAATTGCTAAGTCCCATCCAAATATACCAATTTTACAGGTATAATAATAAAATTATTAGCAATAATTTTGTTTTGCAAATATACATTTGATTTAACTTTAATTTTTTTATATTTTTCTTAATAATTCAATTTATTTACTGATGTGCTGTTAAAAATTTGTATTATATGTGAGGTAAAATTTCAAAAATAGCATTTTCAATTCAGTTAAATTTATTATATGTTTTAAATGTAGTTAAACTACTGAAAGTTATGATTAAATATAATTCACTATGAAATGCCCAGGAACATTTTGGCATGTTTTTCTTCATAAATTCATCTTTTCCTTCAGCTTAATTTTATTTTCATTACTGCATGGTGTATATCTATATTTACAATGAACTAATATAGGATCATCATGTTAAAATTAAAAACTTATTTATAGTACAGTAACAACAAATAAATCGTTACAACTAATATTGAATTATAAAAATCAAGGATTTAGTAAAAAATTAAACATTTCAGCAAAAAACATTGTTTAAATGGGTTGTCACAAGATTCGCCTACAACACTACTGTTTTGCCATAACACAAATAAAATACTTCTTGTTTTGTGGTATCTGATAAAATGGATATTCTAAACCAGCTTAAATGAAACCTTGTCTTTAAATTATTGTTGTATTTAGATACTGTTTGCTAAATTAAAGTTTTACTTTACTAAATTAAAAAAAAAAAAATCTTCCTGTTGTCTGAACAATCGGAATCCTTAGCAGGACTCTACTCCATATATATTTACCATATCATTTGATGACTAACATATCTAGGTTCACTTATATATTTTTTATTTATATATATAAATATAAATCGTATTATGACTGATCATCCCAACCATCCTTCTCCTCTATAATTAATTTTTATTTTTCAAGAAAGTAGCTGTTGAAACTGAAAAATGGTCAGTGGTCCTACGCAGTCGCTTACTAGCGGAATTGAAAGGAGAATTAAGTCTCCCTAGATGTTTAGTTGATGTTGGAGTTTTACGCAGAATGGGAGCTCTATCAGAACCGGAACTGAGGCTTATTTTTCTCCAAGCCAGAGGTCATCACTTATCAACACTACTTTCTTCACCTCAAGGTTCGTTAAACATAATATGTTAGAAAAAATTAATTCAACTTAAAAAAATGTACCTAAGTACCATATTGCACATTAAGAATGATAAGAGCTCAACTAAAAAAGCAAACAGCAGTTCGGAAGCTACATTGTGCAGTTTTACACTTCCTTAAACATTGTAATATTGCGTCTATTTTGAATTTTTTTAGGTCTTAGTATCTCCAGTTTTACACTATCTGATCTTCCTCCGTTTTTTATCAATTACAAGAAATACTAAAATATTTCTTATATTTTCAGATTTATCCTATTGTTACTTCCTTCTCTTACCACTCAAGTTATGGTAAACAATGACAAACTACTTTAAAATAATGAAATACAAGTAATTAATCAATCATCTCTTTAAATTAGTGTCACCTTTTTAATAAAATAACAATATTGTAGTTTATAATTTTCTTAGTAAAATGATAATCCGTTCTCATTTTATTTTGCATCAAGCCTTTGCCAAATACAAAAAAAAAAAAAAATGTATAAAGATAAACATAAATATGTTACATTGAATAATTTTTTTTTACATACCAAAATTAATAATAAAATAAATAATAAAAATTGTAAGAATGAAAAAATATTTAAAATAATCTCAGATTATTGTTGAGGTTGGAAAAATGCAACAATATTCACTTATAGAAAATTAAGAGAATATCAAAATAAAATTATGAATATTCACTTAAAGAAAATTAAGAAAACATTAACTTTATCTGAGAAGCTTTCATAAAAAGAACAATATACTTGTGGAATAAGGCTTTTTCCAAAATATTTCAACATTTTTGGACATCAACAAGGTTTTTTTTTTTTAAGAGCTGCAGTTCTCAACTACGACAAAAGACTCATCATAGAGAGCGCTTATATTATATTTATTCAATTAGAAAACAAGCTGCTGTCAATCTAAAAACCGACTAACAAAATCTGTCCCTTACCTATTCTCAAATCCTTAACCTATTGAAACAACAATAATTTATAAACGACCGTTTTCTGCTTCCTTCCTCATTTCATCGTACTATGTTTTTTATAAAAATTGTAAACATATATTTTTACAATATGTAGACAACTCCTTATACATTCACCTTCTAAACCCGACCTGTTTCACTGATTTCCAATTCCTTATTCCTTAGTCAAAATTTACAAATTCTAGTTAACACCCACCTTCTGTAGATGTATTTAATTATTTAACCCATTACACAGACCAATATACGAAACTACTTCTTTAATAGCTTTAGGTGTAATAGTCTTTTCTTATCTCGCCCATTTGCACTTTTTTGGCATATACATCAAACATAATTCAAAAAGAAACATCACTTTCACAACCTCCTGGTCCCTTTCTATCTGTCAGTTTTCTGTTACCTGACCCGACACCAGATGTCATACGGCCTTCAACAATGCCTGGCGGAATTGTTGTTTACTAACTGGCATGTTTTTGACTCTAATTACTATTATTATTCTTTTTATATCTACTCTCTATTATCCTTAATATACTCCAGTCATCCTAATAATCCATTAACTTTTTCTGATTGAACTGAATGTCAATAGTCATCAACATATATTGTAACTTTCTGTAATTAATTGTATATTGTTTATATCTTATATAGATCTGAGGAAGACCAATGATGTAGGTCAAAACGTTGGACAATGTAATAAAATATTCGATTATATAATATATTATTTTTTTACTCTTCCCCTCTGACTAACTTCTTCTGAAATTGAATCTACGGTCAACCATCTCCATATCATTACTTTTTTTAAAAGCTTCTTTGAGATTGCAAGACTTGTGATTAAATTATTGCAACACTTTTTCAGGATGTTCTGATTTAAAATAATAGTTTTGTATGTCTCATCAGAGTAAAAAGGCTTACATTGGAAGCTGCCAGTGTTTTTTTTTTTATAAGTTCAAGATTTTTATTTCAGCTACGTGGTCTTTATAGCCAGGCCATCTTAATGTTGAAACCTATTAGTAAAATGATCTATTATTTATTTATTATTAAGCCAATAGTGTGCAGTATATCACTAGAGTTTTTGAGTTGTGTTCTTTTCATCTCAAGCAATACCTTTACCAACGAGGCCAGACAATCGATACTTTAAACATTCTAATGCTCTAAAAATGCCTGTAAGGTACAATGTCTAAACTGATTTCATGAAATCCTGCAGTGCTACTAACTCAAAAACAGCCTATTTTTTTTTCATTCTGGATGTGTGATATGTATGTTTCAAAAGCTGAGCACCAAGGAAATGATTATTGCTTCATTAATAGCAGAGTACTTCTTTTCTGCAAATGAGTCCTCTCCTTATGAATGAACTTTTTGTTACCATCTACTACTCAACTACCCAATACACAAATATTCTCTAACGTTGTGATCTGTTTGAATTCACTCATCATGTTTGTCGACAGATTATATATTGGGTCGTCCAGAACATAATGGAGGATTTCATGTTTTTTGTTTTGTTTTATTTACATTAGCCCTCTATATAACAAACTGTTTATGTTTTTTGTCCTTATTCTTTTGTATGGGTCTCTACATTTATTAATCCTCTTCCAAAAATAATGTTTTTTATCTTCTGTAACATTTCACTATTGGAAAATAATTGAATCTTTACAATGATGTCATCACATGATTTTCAAATAATTTTGCTTTATGAGTTTAAACTCAGTCAGGATGAGTATTAAAAGGTCAGAAACATTAATAACTGCAGTACGAGTGAGTATATTATTCAACAATGGTTTAAAAAAACTTCGAGAGAGATATTTCTGCCTTAAGACAAAGATGGTCCTTGAAGGACTTCTAATTTTATTTAAAATTAAAAACCATAAACCTACAATAATTTCCAGACTACTCAATATTTTATTTTAAATTAATGAAGAATCCATTTGTGTTTATTTTCCAGTTCAGAATCAAACTAGTGTATTGAAAAGGATAGAAATCTATCGGAGTCAACTTTTTAACATTATAACTCAATATAAAGGCGTTTTTCCGGATGCTGCAGTTATTTCAGGAAAACAGAAGCAAAGCCCACTTCTAGAGGAGTGGGTTAGTATTAAGGTAAGATTAATTTTTATAATATACAAAGTATATATTTTAAAATATTTAAAATTGATGTGATATTTCTAATGAAATCATGGACTTCTTATTAAATTATTTTTACAGGTTAACGAATTCTTATCAGACACAGATGGTTGGGCTAACGAAGGAGGTAGTTTTGAAGGAGTAATGTATCTTGGACAGTCATTAGGCAGGGTGGGCTGTGACTTACGAGGACTCTCTACATCTTATTTTCTGTCTGGTACTGCAACACGAATGAAAGCTATTTTAGAATCTTCTCTTGCTGATTTTCCTCAAGATATGGACAAGGCTGCACTTATGAGTATACAAGTAATCAATTTACTATATTAATTAAGTAACAGCATATTTAATTTCACTCAGTTCTAAGTGAAACTTCTAGCTGAACACACCTCCCTGAAGAAGACCTGCTAAGTCGGCGGGTCTAAATGTTGGCTTTTAATAAAATAGTTTTACCACTATTTAGCCTATTTATGACCGCCACCCAGGACCATCTCCTTCTTTTATAATGCAACGGTCAACTATTAAATATTCAATTTTTTTTTTTTTTTTTCTCTGCGATATAATATAATAGTGTTCTCTGCAATCTTTTCTAGACAAGGCAACTTATAGTTTTCCACAAAAAAACCAACCTTTTCTTAAGAAGACTCCAGTCTGCTATATCTATTTTTTTCCACATCACTAACAAGTACATAGATTTGGCTGTAATAATACCTTGATTTTTTTTTTTTTTTTTTTTTTTTTTTAATACCCACTGCTTAGCCATTATTGGTATAGGAGGAGGGGTGGGTGGGAGGAGGTTGTTTTGGAGGCAAGGAAATATTGATGGCGGTAGGACGGATAAACCCACTTCAACTCGGTGTAAAATTGGGTAATATGCGTATCCTTTGAGATCCCAAGGATAAAACGGATTGAGCAATTCATTAGACGTTTAAGTTCAGCTTCAAGTTCTCCCGAGAGTCCACCATACACCATATAGCCATAGTCGATGTGTGGAAAAACAAGAGATGAGACCAGGAGTTGATGGGTTTTGAACGGAAGAAAATAATATAGATGTGTGGTTTCCAGGAGAGGGTTTGATCGATGGTAAAGCCAAGGTTTTTAACGGTGGTATGGAAGGAGATAGGTGAGTTTTTCAGAAGAAGATTGGGAGGTACTGAAATGGATTTGAGGAGTGAGGGGGATTCGATCAGGATGGCTTTTGTCTTCTCCATATTTAATGTGAGCTTATTAAGATTCGCCCATGCGCATCACCACTTTAAAATCAACTCTTCAGTTTTACGTATTATCGTGGATTATATTTAGAATTATTAATAATGAAGCTAGTCTTTATTTAATTATTATTTCATTTTTTTCTGTAGGAAGATCTCTGTGGATTTAACATTCCATTTTATCCTCTCGCACGGCTAACAAATGGAATATTATCCTGTTTGAACAATCTTCGCCATGGTGCACCATTAGCACTGGCTCAACCAGTTACCAGTTTAGTGGAAGAGACTCTCTTCTTGGCATCCCAGCACATTTCTAATTTCCACAAAAAAGTGAGCTCTAAAATCAATGATACTTTGTTGTTTACTTTTAAGGTTATTAAAAATGTATATAATTCATTAATATTTGATAAGTTAAGTTTAAAAATAATGGTGTAAACTGTAAAGTAACATCTGTATTTAATGAATTACAATTAATGAAAGTATTTTATTATGAAAGTATCTGTAATCTATCATCTTTGATGAGATCATCTCCTTTATTAACGATAAACTTTGGATTTCAGAATAAAATTATCTCTTTTGCTTTTTCTTGCATGCCTTTTTTTTTTTAAAGTATTTGTTGTAAAAGTTTTTAAGTTCAATTATTTGTTTTTGTATTTTCAGGAACAACAAGCTCTTGGTAAAGTTGAGATGGAAATGTTGTTTAAATTAGTATTGTGCTTTTCTGACCAAATGCTGCCCCATTTACAAACTTGTATTCATACAGTTTACCCACCGGCAGAGATTGCTCAATATCTTTCCTTGTCTGTGTCTAAACTTCAGTCACAGGTAAATATTGAAGTAAAGATTTTTTGTTCTAAATATAGAATTTCAGTTATTTATAAAATGTTTTATCTGTAGCAAAATTACTAGTAGTATGAATCAAGAGTTAACATTGCTGTGTAATCAAAACTGAATTAAGAGTGCAAATAATATAATAAGAAAAAATCACATTTGAAATAAATGAGAAGTTACAAAAAAACTGAATAAGATACTGATTAGGGAATGTTTCTAGTCCATTAATCAATTACCCAACAAATTTAAGTTGTATGAAATATAATAGCTTAAATTGATTTTTAAATATTAAGAACGCTCTAATCTTCCAATTAATTACAAAAGACTCATATACTTGACTATAATAAGGCCTATTTGGACTTATGGAGTTGAGCTATGGGGCTCCACTAAACCATCGAATTCCTCTCGTATTCAATCCTTACAATCCAAAATCCTTCATAAAATCCTCAATACTCCCTACTTTGTTACAAATAAAACTATAAAGTTCCTTTTGTTTCAGATCTGGTCTAATCCAGATACCTATCCTTCCATAATAAACTTCAGAATCATCCCAACCCTCTCGTTTCTAACCTTGCTTCCTCTTCAATTCCTGATAACCCTCTGAGGCGTCTGAAAAGAAGATGGCCCCGTGATCTCCTAATTTAAACATATCATTAGAGTGATACCATTGGGTAGTTACTCAGCAAGTGTTTTTCATGTCATTATATACGTTATGTTCTAATTTACTAGATATATTTATTTAATATAGTTGTAAATGTCGTTAAGAAATAAAATTTAAAAAAATAAATAAAAAATATTAAGAAGTTTGAGAACATAAAATGAGTAGTAAAACTAATGTAACAATATCCAGCCAACAAGTATCTTTAGGCTAAAAAAATTGTAAGCTTTGGTTTGTCACTAATGATAGAAACCAAAATAAAGTAACATGATAAAATGTTACTTGTACTGACCGCCTTCCTACATACATACTTTGAATATTAAAACTAATTTACACATTTTAATGAAATAAAATTTTTTCAGGGCTTGACATACTTGGATTTCGAAAAGATTTTAGGACCCATAAAACATCTCCAAATTCCTAAATTAGAGAAGCCGCTTACTGAAGAAATTAAACAACCAGAAACTAATGTAATTACAAATATTGTTTGCTAATATTTGTTTTAAAAGTTTTATAAATTATTATTATTGGTTCTTAAATTGTTGAAATATATTTTTGTTATCAAATACATAATTATTTATTAAATCTATTTGCTTCAACTATTTATTTAGTAAAACTATGGATGTTCTTGTGCACAACACATCAATGATGGCCTTTTTTTGAGGCGAATTGCTGCATGTTTTGATTTCTCAATGTGTGCTTTAAGGAGTGGGATTCTCTGCCAAGTGACAATTTCCGTGTATTTCTAAAACTGGTTGATAAGTTTCCAACATGAAAAAATAATTTCTTGTTTTAGCAGTGAAATTAATTAAATTATTCTTGCCCACCTACTGACAAGAAGTAAAATTGAACCACTTATTTGTATTTATATATATTTAGTAAAAATAATTAATATACAGCTAGTAACTGATTTGAAATTTTCTGTGTTTGAAGACTGGAAAAGTTCATGTTTGTCATGATATAGATAGATGGGTTGTTGATTCGGTTTGCAAAAATATTTACATATTTTTCGAAGTTGTAACAAGAATGGGCAGGGCTAATCATGTAAGGTAAGAACAATTGCTTTAATAAAACAAGTATTAAAATAAAATAAGAATTTAATTCATTATAATTAACATTTATAATACATAATATATAAACATATTAACTATGTTTCCATGTTTGAAGGTTCTGTTGTTTCTATATCTCTGCACTTAGCATTCTGTAATTCTCGTCGTATTTCTGGAGTAATTGTGGGATGTGGTTGATGCCTTAGAAGACCAAGAAGAGCTTCTCTTTGCTCAGAACTGATATCGCTCTTATAACGTTGCACAAATGTCAACAATGCTTGGTGCCACAGAACTGGTAGCTCTCTCTTATCCCTCTCGAACCTAATATTTTAAACAGCGTATAATAAGACATCAATAAAAACAAACATATACATTCGAATTTTAAAAGTAAATACCTCAAGAAGTGAAAAACTGAAGCATCAACGACTCTGTAAGGGAGGGCATACTTCTTGTCATATAAAATTCGTAAGAAAATTGAATTAGCTCCATTGTAATCCATTTCAGCAATTTTCAATAAAGCTGCAGCTGAGTGTAACATTGGAATAGAATTTTTTTGAATCACAGATCCTATAATTATTGCTTCTCGCAATGTACATGTTCCACTCTGTAAAAACAAAATAGAGTTTTTTGATGGATACTATACAAAACGTTACAATAAAAATTAATTTTTTTAACAAGCAAGAAAACAATAATGATATGAACATGGGATAGCATGCTATTGTAGTGATTTTGGAGGTTTAAGATTTACTTTTAATTATTCAAGAATTTGTTAAATTTAATAGTATGGTAATGATGGTAGGAAAATGATTGATCGTTGTTCTAATTTAAGTCAGTCGTGGGGTGCGGTCAATAATTACACACTATGTTGGTGTAATATTAACTTATAGCCTACGTTGGTAGTCTTTATAGGGGCTTTCGTCCAACAATGGTGGAAGCTCTGATGAATAAATATGACACCAACATAGTAAACCGATAACCATTTACCAATGCACCCCCTGACTATTACATAATAGTATAGTAGTTATAAAATCTCCTTTTCTCATGAATGTTATATATGAAATCCCTATTAAAAATAAGTTACATAAGATAAACTTCAAATAATAACTCTAATAGACAATTTACATTATGTGGATTGAGATGTTTTGATATGCTGTTTTACACTCACTGTATACTATGCTGTGATTGGTTGATAGCCCGAGGGCGAACTCATAATTTGTTTTCTCCTTAACTCTCTGATATTAATTACAAAATAATAATACTGTAAGTCTGTCAGAGATTTAGAGATAAAAAAAAATATATGTTTCAACTTGATGCCGCACGAGTTTGCTTTCAGGATGCCAACTATTCAAGATCGAACGATACTTTTACTTGGATTTTGCTAAAAACGTAGTAGCAAGTATATAATAACTGAGTGGTAAAGTGACAACGCCTAAATTACTTAAATTAAAAATTTAAGTTTTTTTAACTAAATGAAACATACCTCACATAGTGGCAAAATGATTCCCTTCATAAAAGCGCCTGGTTTATAAAGAGCCTTCCGCATTGCTTGGTATAGATGGAAATTCAATCTCTTATATTCAGCAATGTCGTCCCTTATTCTGGGCAATAACACTAAATTGTAATATCTTTGGGCCATTTTCTCTTTTAAGTTGGATGCAAATATTCTTGTGGCCATGTACACCGCAGCAGCTGACCAATTTGATGGTTCTAAAAAATTCAAATATTTAATAAGATAAAAGAAAAAATACAGAGTAGGTATTATTAAATATGGTGAAAGTTGATAAACATCTGAAGAAATGTTTTCTTTTCCAGACACCTCCAAGAAAGAAAATTCACATATTAAATTAAAAATAATTCATTTTATACTCATTATTTACATTTTGAAAAATGTATGGTTTGTTCGTAGAACTACTATTTGGTTTTTTAAAACTAATGTTGAAGAAGTTAAATAGAGGGAGGTGAAATGGTTAATGATGAAAGAACACACATAAAAAATCATACATTTCCTTTATTCCCAACCAATTTCTAAGATTGATTCTATGGTAAACAATATCTCTACCATTATAGAAAGGTAAGATTTTTTCTCCCACTGAATTAAGCTGCTGAAATGTTTGGTATTAATCTACATCAAAAAATGTAATTTTTTAAAAAAGTTATTGTTTATTTTTCACTAATTCATTATTTAAATTCTTCAATATTGCTAAATAAATAAGACGATATAAGTATTAGTCCAGATATAAACAATTTTATAATTTGTTCATTTGACAATGTTTTCCTCTTACCTGTTATATATAATATTTGTTCCCAATTTCGAAGTTTTGGAACTATTTTAAACGCTTTAGGAATTTTACCAGCTCGGTACCTCGCAAGGACATCTCTCACTCCCTCATACATAGTTTTAACTCGGGAATCCAAATCCTGTAGATGTACACCTTAGAAAAATATATGTTTAAATATAACCATAAAATTTATCAAAATCCATATAATATATGGAAACATTAAGAATGAAACTATTTTAAATATTGATTAAAATAAAATTAAAAGTTGTCCTTACTTTCTTTTTCGGAAAACTGAGATTGTAGTTCTGTTTGTTTTTCAGTGATTTTCTCGTTAATGACGTCTGCTAAGGTTAATCTAGGAACAGGATTCCTATTCATAAACTTTTCTAAAGCCTTTTCATCATCCTCATTGATTTCCTAAACATCAATAATTAATGTGATACTTAAAATAAGGATAAAATAATTTAAAGATAAATAAATAATTTAAATTATTACGATGTTGTCATAGAAATCTTCTTCGTCCTTATGAAGAGCATCAACTTCCTCATCAGATAATTCGTTATCATCTTCCAATATTTTGTTAATTTTTAATTCACTTGATTCAAAAGTTTCATCTTCTAGTTCTTGTTGCTGCTTACGAGCCTGTTGTAAAATCTTTTCAGACAAGCCAGAGTCCACAAACTGTAAAACAGAAAGGATAAGTATGAATATATAACCATAAGTCGTTATATTATCAGTAACATAATTTAAATTAACAAATAAAGAAATAATCCCACCTGATCATCATCTTCACGCCTGTTTCTAATTTTCTGACGATTTTTACTCTGTGTTGGCTCAGAAAGTTGCTGATCCAAAGGTACATTCAACAGTTTAACTGTTGTTTTATTCTTTTTAAATTTACCCATTTTCTTTTTCTGAATCAAAGCAGACATAATCAAATCATTAAGCCCTCTAATATTTTACCTCATTGACATATATATATATATATATATCACTTTTATATATATAACTGATATAACTTAATATATATAATTGAATAACTTAATTGATCTATCTGGAATTATTGATATAGGTAGCTATACAATAGTATAAATGGTCTGCAAAATTTAGAATGCTCTGTATGTTATATTAAATTTAGTTGTTTAATAAGTTCCTACAGGTAAATTGTTCTAAATTAGCTTTATTACTTAGTTCTGTTTGATATGATATATGCAATTATTGGTACATACAAAATAATTCTAAATGATTAAAATTTTTAACTTGTTAATTATTAAGTAATAATTAATAAGATGGTAAGTATTTAGTTTTTATGAAAAATGCATGAATTTGAAGAATGATAAGTCTTGCAGACATTATACCAATTTGATTGGTGAAATATAATTCATCTTAAATTCTTAAAATAAAAATATATATATATATATATAAATATAACGCTGATGCGTATCATTGACACTTACACATTCCGTACTAACTAGGAGAGGGAACTAATGTGTCAAGATAAACTGTAATACTTTACAAGTATTGCTCCACTTTGATGGGAGGCCATAAAATATCATTTATCACACTATAAATGGACTAAGGAGTATGACTGAATATTGATGTGTAGAACAGTTTAATTCTCCTTATTTAGATTACTTCATAAAACCGTTAACTAGATCTTTTCAGTTAAAATGTTGGCTTTAATAAATTTTAATCACATCACTGCTCAACTTTTAGGAATTCCATCTACGGTGTGATCATGAGATCTTGTGCACACCCATTGTAGTAGAGCAGCACTTGCAAAGTAATAGGAGAGAGACTGTTCAAGTTGGTATATAACAAAATGCATTTCTTCATAAAATACATTTAAAAAACAATTTATAACTGGATACCAATTTTATAATATCCAATCCATCGCATAAGTATTGTTTTAATGCAATATTGCATAAAATAATATAACAAAAATAGTAATTGAACTAAACATGTCTGTTTGAAGTGGATATTAGATCAAAATTTTGAAGGTGTATAAAAACTTTGTGACTAAAGGTACAAGATAATAATCAAGTATAAAGTAATATACAGAAGTATTAAAGGGCCATTTTAACCATAGAAAGAATATACACAACTGAAACTATCATAAGGCTGAAAAATCCAGATATTAATCCATTAAAATTAGAATATTGTAGAAACACTTCGGGGGGGGGGGAAACAAAAATATACAAGAAAATTACCTTTTATGAAGAACTTAGAATGTTAATTGGGTAATGACTACATGAATTTCACAATATTTCCGAACTAAAGAACAAGTATATTTACAGTATAATATACCCTCTGCACGCTGTCTTATTTATGTTTCTTGAAGGTTATAGCTATAAAAATTAAGGTCCATCCAAAGAAGTAGGAAGAGATGACTCTGTATGGAGTTCAGAGAATGTGGATTCTGGTATTCTCATTCCTAATTATGCTAATAAACTCACTCGCTGTTCATCTGTGTGATTAAATTGTATTATAAATTTCACACTTCTATTAATTTTTACGGTTACCCTTTTGTAAATAAGAATGCAATCTTCACAATAACAAATATATTAAACAAAAATATTTGTGTAACAATTTTGCTTTATTTTCATAAGTTAATCCTAATTTATTGTTAAATATGAATTCCTGTCAAGGAATTTGCTTTATTCTGTCGTTATTTCTACGAAATTTGTGGCGTCTCACATTCAGTGACTTCGTTTGTATGAGGATTCTCCTATATGTCCAGATTTGATCAACAAGTATCTACCGCGTATACCATTTTTGCGTACGTAAGCAGATATATATTTTTTATAAATAAAGCCAAGTTTGTTTAACAACAATGTTATTATTTAATTTATTATTATTTCAAGTATTTATATCTTACATTTAACATATTTATGAGTTACTTTATAGAAGAATAAATAGCAATTATTTTTCCTACTTTCTAAAAACAAAGGAATGGTGGTACTTAAGTTAATAATTTTAGAATTACTGTATTATTAAATGTTTTTCACCAAAACATGACCGATTATAATTTACATGTTTTAAATTGTAAATATCACTAAATAAACTTATTATTATTAAATTAAAATTATATTTAGTTTGATTAAATAGTGATTCCTACATCGCTTTCTAGAATTATGACTGTTAATTTTTTAGGTAATAATTTACATGAGTTTTAATACTTTTTCCTTATATAAGCGAAAACTCGAAAAACAGCAATAAACACAAGGCAAATGTTTTTGTTTTCACTGTTAGGCGTAGTTGAGGACGGATGTCTCGGGAACTAAGCGCGATAGCGAAAAAATGTATATTATCAATCATATTGCAAATTTTATCAGCTTTAATTTTGTATAGAACGTCGTTGTCGATGCGATGGATAGTTTTCCTGATATAAGCGAAAACTCGAAAAAAGTGACCTACTAGGCGCCCCTCCCCCACATCTGGCTCACTGCCCAGGAGTGGGTAATTTTATTATGTTTACCTCCTTACTAGTCCAAACAATATCCCAAAGCTAAAAATTGTCGCCGCAATTCCCGGCGCCCCCTTTCCGAAAATTCATTGACTGGACTACATGTTTAGAAAGTACACTAGTTGATATTTGAAGTTAAACATCCTTGCATATGGCAAAATATAGACATTTAGACTCATTGGCGACCATAATATATTGATATATGGCTGCAGCAAATAAACGTTTTAATAGCTAGCAAATAAGCATTATGACAGCTGCTGCCATGAACAGTACTCCTACTACTGCTATGGAAATTATTTAGAACACACCATTAAACACAGATCTAGAAATGCAAGCTCTTTGAACTGTGTACAAACTTGAAATGTTAGAATCAAGATTCAAACTCCTGATTACAAGAAAATTTAAGCCTGTTTGAAAGATTTGACAAAAGCAAGGGTGCTGGTAGTTGGCTCTAATGGTAAAATATAGAATTCTAGAAAAAGCTTAGAGGATGGGGCCAAAGGCTTTAGGCTGAAACCATAATATGGAAAAATGTCCTCTTCTTCATTGGTCCATATTTGTTTTTATCAATAATGGAACTAAATACTTTAATTTATACATAAAAAATAAAATATATTCTAATCGTTTTTTTTCATCTTTTATAGAAAAAAAAAATACTTTAACGATCAGAATATATTTTATTTTTATACTCCTTAAGTTATCATTCTTCTCACTAACAAATACACTATGCAGATTATTGGTCCAGATAATCTAACAAACTTTGTAGACTGTAATGAGATAGAACATTTTTGTTCCAACTGTTTTCAAATTTTATGTAGAAATTTTACTTTGAAATCAATCAATTTTCATTATCACTTACTTACTAAATATTACGGTCTTAAATATTACGGTCTTAAATATCAGCTAAGTCAAATCCTTGGTAAAATAGTTTGAGATTAAATGATAAATTTTCATAACGACTTCTTCTCAAGTAACTTCAGTTTTGAAATAAATGTCATGCTCAAATTATCGGTAGTTGCAAAAATGGATAAATACCAACTATGAGAGAACTTCATGAACTGAAGAAAAAATATTTTCTAAATTTTATGTTATGTTTGAAATCTGTAGAATACAATGGGAGTGACAGGACATCAATGACTAATAATTGTAGTTATAGATTCCTACTTTATTAAGTAAAGGAATTTCCTAAAATCTAATTTTAGCTCGACAGATAAAAAATGTACAGTGTATTGAAGTGTTCTACGTTTGTATTTATAGTTAAAGTAATAATATCAGAATTTATTATCATTTCTTATTTAAGTGGTGAACATAAGTACGCACTGCATCATTTTTTATTTTAATGAACTTATTACTGTAAATTAATTTTCTTGTTTATGTTAATTCCTTCTTTAAAAAATTTAACTCATGAGAAAAAATAACATCACAAAAAAAAAAAAAAATGAATATTTTACAGAAGTACACAAGAACAAGAAAGGAAACGAGTAATAAATAATAAGAAACAATAGTAACTTTCTACTTGTTATATTTTCTAATGGAAATGTCATATTATCTACTTACAGTTGATCAAAAATCGTGTTCATATTATCTGTGTTAATTTACAAATCCGTGATATTCTTTTCAAACAGTATAAAATAATTTGGTCTGACATTCAATATCTAGTAAATAAATTATATTATTATTACAATTAGACAGTTAGTTAATTACAATAGCTTATAAAGATTTTAACTTAATAACACTTAAAAAATAAAAATAACTTAGTAAAAAAAATATTTAAAAAACATTAATTCAAAAAACACTAGAAAGTCTTTAAAACAGTCTTTGAAACTGTAAAATACAAAACACACCTAATTATCAAAAAAAGAAAGAGGTACCAGCATTATGTATGCATACTTGATAATTAGTAGACAAATTTAATTTTTATAATAATGACAATACAGCAACCGCTGGAAAAGCTCTTACAAATAATTACATTAATAGTGCATTAACATCAATATAACAAGATTGACACAAGAGCTTTATTTTAGAGTCCCTTACTAGAAATTAAAATTTTTTTTTTCTTTAATGTCGAACAAAAATTAGGGCTCAACATATGTTATAAGAGCTATTAACACACATTTAATTTTTAGTTCTTCGCTGATTTTGTTTTTTTTGTTGTGTCTGTTGAGGGACTGGTTTGTGTTGACTTCCACTTCCAATATATGATGAGGCCAAAATGATTGCAATACCACTCAATAACAAAGACAACATAAGGAGAGGTGGTTCGATCGCAGAAAATCCTTGTCTTACTAAATTTAAGTCTGAAAAAAAAATTAAATAATTCAATTAATTATTTTATTTTCATCAATCCGTTTTTAACTTTTTAAAGCACCAACTATTAAAAAAGAAAAACTTACAGTTGACGGCCAAGGGTGATACACTTTCTTTTTTCTTTTCTTGGCCTAAGATTTTGAAACTTTTGAGGTAATCAAGAAGAGGTGTGTGGTCTTTTGCAAAAATTGGGAAGTATTCTCCAACCTTTTCTCTTGTCCAATAAGCAGCTGAATTTCTGTTAGAACCAAAAAAGAAAAAAAAAAGATTAATGACAAGCATTACATAAAGAAAGCATAATTTTACAGAGATCATTTTCTATCAATCTAAACAATAGGGATTTAAAAAATTGAACGATTAAAAAACATTTTCATTACTAAAAACTACATTGTAGAAATAAGAAGATGTGTTCAGAAACAAATGATTCACAAGGAAAAGATTTTTATCTTTTTTCAGTTCTCAATTTGCCCAGAGAAGTACCTTAAATATAATTAGTACAGACAGAAGGTGAAGATGTTTTACATAACCCTTCAAGTCTGATGGTTTTTTGCTAATAGAAGTTGATTATCATTTAAGTTTAATGATCGTTCACAGAGGCCTAATCCACAACTAAGATGGGATTCTCTTTCATGGAAAAGATTTCTTTTGCTATATTTCAGTATACACATGTAACCCATTCATGTTTACAACAGACTAAAAATAGGTGAAAGAATTACAAATGAACTCCCGGCCCTATCAGAGTAAAAAGTATGTCAATAAGAAAAAAGCGATGATCTCCAAAAATATAATGGTTTCTGTCAGATAAATGCCACAATCAAATTTTTTGCTTTGATTTCCTTTTAAATTATTTCATGAACACTTTTTACATAATCATAAGTAATTATTATCTTCATTATTTTTGTAAAGTTAATTGATTTGAAAACAACAAAACATAAATCAAACTAATTTAAATACCATAATGACTGTAATTGTCATAATTTGTAACATAATAGATTCAGGGTCAGTCACGGATTTTGTCGTAGCCTGGACTCTTATTTTTTTATAGAAGAAACTTAGATCTCTGTGGTTTATTTATGGGACTTTTCAATTCACCGATTCAAATAGTAGTAATATTAAACTTAAAATACTTGCCTGGATGACCATGGTACATAATGGTATTTATAAAGAGTTGCTCTAACGTATTTCGGAGGTTTTGGTGAAAATGGACTTGGGGCCATCAGCTTCAGGACTTCCTCTTGACCAGTTAAAATACGATAAGCAAGAGACATTATCCAAGGATTCTGATGATAGGTGCCTAATGCGGCAAACCACATTTGCCAATCCAATCTGGGCTGATGAGGCACTGAAAATTAACGATAAACATCACATGAATAAGAAAATACTATTTATTTAAAAGGAGTTTAGATTAGCTAAGTAAAATAAAATTACCAACAAATGGCAAACTCCTATTAACTTCACCCGGCTTGTATTTAAAATGAAATTCAGTCCAAGGGCCATCTAAGGCATTAGATCCTTCAATAATAACCTCTGGTCGTCCTCCAACACCTGTCATTCGTCTAAATAATCCATAAGAATTTGTTAAATGAAGACCTGACAGCTTATCATGCCATTCTCTAGCTTCTGGCAGGACAGTTTTGTTTCCAGCTGGATGCAAAGTTGAAAACGGAACCTAAAATAAGAAGGCAAAAAAACAATGAATTTCTCGATTTGAATTTCAAGCTACATTTTATACCATACAAAATGAAGATTCAGTAATAAAACTATTAAAATTATTAAGAACACAAACTTTTTTGGCATTTCAACTTATTTTATATAATGTAAGTAAGGTTGTGCCATGTTTATTAAAAAAAAAAAAAAATAACACAAATACTGAAATGTATTAGGAGAGCTTTGTTAATGTCAGGAGTCCCCAAACCTGAAATCAGCTAACATAGCCTTTACCAGCGATCACCATGGCCGCTGATAACTGCTTTTAGCGGTGTTAAAAAAAGTTGTATTATAATTTTTTTTTTTTTAAAGCTGTTGATTTCTTAACATTTAAACAATATTCTTCAAATTATGAAGTTTTGACCAATGAAAAAATCACATTAACCTTATATGAATATGTAACATTTATATTGATTTGATTAGCAAAAGATAATTGACAACAACCAAAACTAGGATTTAAAAGGTGTAGGATTTAATAGCACACATTTAAAAAGTTACAGTTGTGAACAAGATAACGAAAATAAATAAAATAAAATACAATATAATGAATTAAAATAATATTGATGGAAGAGATACCACTGGGTATTTCTTTCTTTCTTCCTCATGCATGACATGTCATTATTATTTTGTTACTAATCTTGCCAGACAATCCACTAGTCTGTCAATGATGTATTAAACAGGCGAGGATGTAAAAAATAAAGTTAAAAAAAAATATATAATATTATTGATCTATATCAAAATAAACAAATGAATAATAATTATGCTGATAAGCGATTGGTTATTTTTTAATACTGGTAAAACTTACCAAGCTGTCTGCAAACAGGAACAATGCAGTAAATATATAAAACAATGTAGATCCAATTGAAGCTATCTTAGAAAATATTCCAGATGAAGGTTGTGTACAGGCCTGAGTCAAAGCTTTGAGGGATGCAAGCAGAAGAGACAATAAAGCTACACCAACGAGGGCAGGGATAGCCCGTCCCAGAGTACTGTCGAACTGTGCTGATGAAAACGCTATAAAAGAAACAAAAAAATTAACATTTGATATTCAACTCTAACAATAGTATGAAAATAAAAGTTGTGAATTATATCAGAAAAAGAAAAGAAAAAAAAAACCCACAATATTATAGGAGATGCATTTGATTTGATCATTATTAATTTCTGTGAAACAATAATATAAAATTTTAAAATGGCATGACTGGTCTTGGAATCACATGAATGAAACTTAACTAATCTTAAAATTCCAATTTTCCATAAAGTCAGTTTATAGCTAAAAGTCATTAAATAGACTCTATATCACAAATAAGTTTGATGAATTTTCCTTTGTAAAATCAAAACATCGTGCACTTGATATACAAAATAACTCATTTCATTTTGGGTACAATTACTGCTTTCTTTTAACAATAAGGTCGGAAATCACAGAAACGTACTTAAAAGTTCAGTTCCATCAAAATTTTATTTAGTAGCTTTTAACAATAAGCTGATAAGATAATTTTGATTAAAAAATTGTGGTTTTTAAGTTATGATGTTCTATCAGGATATTAGTGATAAAAAATTGCCCATACAAAACAACTTTCCCCCATGAGATGAAAGGTCTACAAGTTATTATATATATCTTTTTTATTTATTTATGATATTAAAAACTTTACCAGAAATTAAAGTACATTCAGTAAATGTGAAGAAAAGAATCTATGTTTAGATCTTAAAAAAAAAATATAGAACTAAACTCTAATAGAATATCAATGAGCATTAGAATATTGTAATTGAGAATTTTTAGAAGAATTGCAGTAAAGTACTTCTAATAGAGAGCCTAAAATTTGGTTTATTCAGATGGAACTTGAAGCAAATTAATTAAAATTTAGTTAACTAAAAATTTAATTTATCAAGAAGTAAGAACAAACATAATTTAAAGAGAGGGTTTGACTTTAGCTGGGTCCACACATGCATTCTATCATCCTAACAACGTACTTACGTTACGTGTATTGGCAAATTCCAAAAAATCCATTTAGAAATTCTAATGTTTCACAGGAATTTTTATGACTAATCATATAACTATGACAGAATTTTTTTTTAAACTATGTCAGCCCATTTATTTTATTTTTCTTGTCTACACTTACGTTTATTATCTTATACATTCCACTACTTCTCGTTGATAATTCATTTTTCATTTCTTATGTTACCTAATTTCTTTTATGTTTATTTCATTAGTTCCTACTTTGTTGCTCCTATGAAAGCCATCATCTTGTGTAATATCGTGGCATTTTATCTTAGAACTTTTGGACAAGCAACAATAAAACTTTATTTTATAAATTCCTTCGTTTTGAAAGATAGGTAAGTAAATACATATAATTCTAAAAATACAAAATATAAATTTTCATCCACAAATATAAGAAATGATCATATTTTAATCAGTGGAAACTGAAAACCAGATCAAAAACCTTTGATTGTATTGGAAATAGCTCCCATCCAATATTTCCATATCTTATAAATTTACCCGTGAAGGAACTATAGTTCAGATTAGCAGAACTCAACTGTATTTATATTTCAATAAAGTATATATTCCTTCTAAATGCGAAAAAAATATCTCGACAAAACTTAAGCTCTTTCTAAGGTTCTACCTCTAAATAATTAGATTAACAAGTTTGTGATAAACATTAAACAATAGCGAAACATACTTATTTTTGACTCAACAACACCTCCTGGCATGATTTTCAGTCCATACAGAACAACTGTTGCATATATCAGTCCTAAATATACACCAACAGTGATAGCTGTTTTAAATAGCTTCATAAATATACCAGACTTCTTTGTAGCTAAAAATCAATGTAAATATTTAATTAATTATCAGTTAGGTGAGAGGAAGTGTATTAATGGCAATTTTAATAGTCTAATATACTTACTTTTATAAAAACAATCATCATCTAAAAGGCTGAGACACAAAGCGATTGTGAGCAAGTTGAAAAAATTGTAATTTCCTGTTAGTATTATAGCCAATTGTAACAAAACCTAAAACATTCAGTTAGTATCCAAACAAAGGATTTAGTAATCAACACAATAAACATAACTTGATGAGAAATATTAATTTTACATTTCTAAAATAAGCAAAAGTTAGAACGCATTAATCAAAATCACTATTTTGATAAAAATTATATATATATATAAATATACACACACATAGTATATTTTAATGACAAAACAAATCCTTTCAATGTAGGAAGTAACATAAGATCCATTACGACCCAACTAAAAAGAACTAAACAGATTATCACTAATTTCCAACCATTTTATCTCATAAATAATAACATGTAATTCATCAACGGTTCAGTCAGAGAAATAAAGTAAAATACTGAAGTTTTATCATATTTTCTTCCTGTTATTTTCATTTTAAGTTTTCCCTTTTCTCAGAAAATCTGCAGGATTTTCCAAGGTATTAACTTCTTTTAATAGAAATGTTTTTATAATAAAAATGCATGATATAGGCTTATTTTGCTAGTAGGGACGATTTGTTTGCAAATGACCCTCTTGGCCGGTGGTTTAATGCATCTCTCAGAATTTTATTAAAATTGGTAGAGTTTGACAATTTATTTATTATTATATATATTTTTGGTCCTCCTCTTTCCTTAATTTGAGCAGACACCGAAATTCAGGCTCTATGACCATAACCGACATCTGCTTTAATTAGGGGAAGGACCGAAAAAAAAAAAAATTAATAAAAAATTATTTTTGTCTACTGTTCTCGATAAAATATAGGTCCTAGGTGAAGAAAAAAATTATTGGAAGAAGAGAAACAGCAAAAAAAAAGGTCTAAGTCTACCAATCTGGATAAAATATGGTCGTGAGGACGATTTATCGGTATTTGGAATATCATTCTTCTTCTTTCTTTCGATGGCACTACAGTTCTTGCAGAATCCTGGCCTCCTCCACAATTCTCTGCCATTCGTCCCTGACCAAAGCTGCTCTTCTCCACCTCCACGCCCTCCAGCCACCGCAATCTGGAACACCCCCTTCTTCGTCCTCCACCAGGGTGTCCGCCCAGAAGCTTCTTTGGAATACGCCGTTCCTCCATTCTCTCCAAATGCCCCAGCCAGCTAATTCTACTCTTCTTGATGCATGTGACAATAACCGGGGCCTTGTGTGGATCACGGAGCTCTTGTGTAGATGGTCTTTTAATTCTTTTATTTAGCAATGAGTAGGGTATTCCATTAGAAACTGTACAAATATTACAGAAAGGAGGGAAAAAAGACGATATGTTGGCCTTTTTAATATCGGTATGAGCCAAAATTTCGATAATAATCGATCTCTAATTTATACTTTTTATTAAGTTGCTCATTACTTATTTGGAATATTAAAATGTTTAAATATTTGCTTAATATTATTTATTATTGTTTTAATAATTGAAATAATATTTATTCTCCTCCCCTTCCAAAAACTATAATTTTTTGAAAATAAGTTTATTAAATTACATTTAATTTGATACAGTGACATTTCTTTTTATTTTGTTTTTTTCACTTTGACCATTTTAAACACATAGATATTATCACTTATATATTGGAAAGTATTAAATTTAATTTTTATAAATTTAAACAAGTTAAATTGTTTACTAAACAAAATTTTCTTATTCAATTTATTATTTCTTTACAAAATGGACAATCTTATTGGTATTTTATTGTTACTTGAGAATAAAATTCCACCGATTCTAATTAAATATACATAGATAGTATGAGGTTTTCAACGCAAACTACAAATATAATTTAGTGGATAATACTCATATAAGAATAAAATACCATAGCCAATAACCAATTACACAAAAATATCAACTTTAATAAGAAAAAATTTATTATAAAAAATTAACTTGTTTAAATTTAAAAAAATAATAATTGAAGAAAGGTTGGTTGGGTCTCTCATTCGGAACCTTTCGTTAGAGCAGCCCTGATGAAGGCCTGAGCCTTGAGTCGAAACTAAGGCAAAAATAGATATAATTTATTTATTTTTATTGAATATTTAATAGTTGACTGTTGCATTATAAAGGAAGGGTGGCGGTCATAAATAGGCTAAATAGTGGTAAAACTATTTTATAAGGCTTTTAATAAAATAGTTTTACCACAATTTAGCCTATTTATGACTGCCACCCCAGACCATCTCCTTCCTTTATTTATTTTTAATTTGTTATTTGTGGTTGAACCCCTTAACCAACTTTTCTTCTACGACAGTCAATTATTTATCCACTATTAAAAAATTTAAATTTAATACTTTCCAATACAAGAGAATGAATATGTTTTCGTCTAGGATGATAATATACATAATGTTATACTTGAAAATAGCCAAAGTGAAAAAATATATAAATATAATATTAAATATTATGTAATTTAATAAAATGTTATGGTTATTTGAAGGGGGAAATAAATATTGGTTCAGTTTATTAAGGATTAATCAACTATTAAAACATTTTAATATTACAAATAAATAAAGAGTAACTTAATAGAAAGTAAAAATCACTAAAGCTTTACTATAAAATAGTATGCTACATACATTTATATGAGGTTTAAATACTATAGATTTTTCATAGAATGAATTAGACAGAATGTCACCAAAGATATATATCTTGAAACAACTTCAAACTCAGCATTTTATAATAAAATTTAATTCCTTTTACTGAGAAAAAAAATCAATACAATTTAATAACTTTTTTTAAAATTATAAATATTTTACTTGTGGATAAACTAAGTTAGATCTAATCAAATTAAAATTTATAATCACTGCAATTAAAACAAAAAATTATGAGAAAAAAAACCACAGACACACACCATTGTTATTTACTAATTCACATGTACATATTGTCATGGTATATGTGTCAGATTTGTTCAACATAAAAAAAAATATATATAAATAAAGTATTAAAAAATACATACCTGGAGGAAGAAAGCAGTAATCCTGACTGCTCTGACGGGAAAGAAGAAAAATGGTGGAAGCATTATTTCAATAAAATAAGTACCAACAACTCCTAATTTCAAGAGCCACTGTGGTAAATGATGCCAGTACCATGACACTGGAGTCGGTATACATTGAGACTCGAAATGAACTGAGAGTGCTAAAAAAATAAATAAAAATAAACATGAAATGTATATTTTTTCAATATTATAGATATTAACAATAAACATCAAGGATATCAGTCTATCGAGTCATATCTAATCCATCTAGCTGATATTCTTGAAGTGAGTTGATATCCTTTACAAATATTTGTGCTTTGGAACAAAAAGGATCAATGTCCATAGCTTGGAAATTAACGGGAACTGCAAAAACGTAATCAGGGTTGTTAATTCCAAAATCAACCAAATCTATTTTAATAACAAACAATTTTGGAATTAATTATCATGAGCTAGAAAAATTAATCACCAAAACTGTTAATAGAAAAAAATAAGTATAAATTTTCAACTTTTGCTCGTTAGTGAAGATTAGGTTAAAAAAATAAAAATGCAAAAAATTCCAAATTCTTTCTAATTTATATTTTCTAGCATTAATTAGTGTAAAAAAAAAAGGTAGGGACAGAACTTGTGAGCGATGCGGCCTCTATGGACTGCTATCTGCAGTTATCTTGTTGTTGTTGTTATTTATATTTCTTATTAATATACATGTATGTATGTATGTATATATATATATATATATATATATATATATATATATATATATATATATATATATATATATATATTAATAAGAAACAGACAAAAAAGAGGCAACATTTCATATGAAGATAGGGATTATCAGTGTTCAGGTTATAAACATTTAATAATAAGAAATATAAATAACAACAAGAACACTTTAAATAACAACAAGAACACTTTAAATAACAAGATAAATGCAGATAGAAGTCCATAGAGGCCGCATCATTAACAAGTACAGACAGAACTAAAAAACAAACAAGTATAGGGAGACATGTCATGGACTGCCAGTGTCCGGCTCATACTGTTGATTGTTTTATATTTTTTTATGAGAGTGTTTAAAGCATCAAAACTTTTATCCAAGAAATATCTTGGAATGTTTTATTCTCTCACGCTGACATCTCTGAATAAAAATATTTAGTTTAAAATGTATTTTATTAGCTTTAATAAATGCATTATTATAAAGTAGAATGAGAGAGTTATGAAAGTATCGTGTTAGACAGCCATGCCTCATGTTACAGTGGACTTAGGCCACACTTACAATCTCCTCCATACATGTTATACTATTATATAAGAAGTGTAATCCCAATCTCATACATAATATTTAACACTTGAATTCGACTGTAACTCAAATTAATGCTATTCATTTTTCATGTGAGTAACCAATGGTTAAAAGGTCCAACATCCTCCCATCACTAGTTAGTCTCAAGAAGGTATCTGGTATTTTGATATCTTAATAAGTGAGCACTTCAAGATTTAATTGTAAAAAGTTACAGTATAAAAATTTCAAAATCCAATAATGGAACAGTAAAATATACTAAACTAAATCTGGGATGAGGAAGGTCGTAGATCCTCTATAACAATATCCCAGCACAAACTTCACAAGTTGTGGATAGTTTTTTACTCAAAGCTTAATTGCAATAGTGGAACATCTCTCTCCCTTACTCGTCTGATTTGCTACTATATGAACTTTCTTGTTTTACAAGATGGTGCTTTGAAGACAGCATTTGGGAGATGTGGAGGCCATCAAGCAGAAGATTTGCAAGAGCCTTCCAGCATGTCAAGTGAATTGAATTTCAGGGAGAGGGTATTGAAGAGGATGATATTTAATGTGGTTAATGTAAAATATTTTTTTCTTACTTTATATCATCGGCTTATAGCGAAAAGTTTCATAACCTAAACTACTTACAACTTCGATGAATTTTATCTTTGTGAAATCAGAACATTGTGTAGTTCTCGTAACTATATTTGATATATAAAAGATTTTATTTCATTTTGATCCATTCCTTGTATTTTTGAACAGATAAATAAGGTCAATTAACAAAAGCATACTTAAAAGTTAACCTACATCATAAATGTACTTAAAAGACTTTTTGTAATAAACCAATGATGAACATGAAACACTTTTTTGGTCTATGTCAGGATTTACTCTTGAGTAATTTATCTTCTTTTTTTTTTATATCTATGTAGCAAATGGAAGTAATAATTATTATAGTCCTAATATTAGCAATAATACAATGAACAATTTTTGTAAGACTCTCCACTCAAAGCAGTGTGTCTCTATCCTAATTGTTAACAGGTCAAGATTAAAAAAAAAAACCATAAAAATTGAAAATGACAATAATATTGCGATCTTATAGAAGTAATATAAATATTACAGTTTAAAACTAATAAGCTAAATTATACAAAATCACTGAATATCAATAAGTACTTTGTTGTATCTTTATACTTAGTTAAGTCTGTGAGTAAGGAATAAAAAACAAAACAACACTGAAATAATAGAAGATAAAGAATATTGACATTACCACTAAGACCCCACCATGTTGGGCAGCCACTGGTTAACTTGACAATACCAGAAGAGAACATCAGCCTAAAAAGAAGCCACCTTACTAGCCAAAATGTAACATGATCTCTTGGTGATCCTGGCTGCTGCTTCTTAGCAGATCTTGTTGCCTTATGACGGAGAGGAGCAATCAGAATACACAAGAAGCCTGTTTCCAAAAGGAGGATATCCCTAAAAAAAAATAATAAATAATTAAAAGAACCCAACAAGAAATTAATCTGAAATACAAAGTCATAGTACTGGATATTAATTTAAAAAATAAATATTAATTAATAATAAAATATCATGCACAGATTTTAATTGTAAAATAAAAAAAAAAATTAAAACTTCAGACTTCTCCTATCATAATGTGTATCCTCACTACAATTCTTTCAAGAAAATATTAACTCAGTAATAAGTAAGAGGAAGCAGATTTCTGTCAAAAATAGAGAGTTGGTTCATGCATATCATCAATACAAATGCTATCTATCGAATATGAAAATCACCACTCATATAATATAATAATATTATATTATTATCAATTCAGCTCAAACGACGAGGATGTTATAATTTTCACACTAATATGTGCTTTTATGAATGTTTGAAGAATTTTACTCGCTCTTTAAAAATATTTCATTACAATTAAAATCACTAGAATGCAGGATTAAAATTTTTTCATATTTCATAGTTAGCATTTGAATCAATGGTATGTACAATTCTTCTAACCATTCATAAGAAAAAAAATATGAATATCTATATTCATTTACTTTTTAGTTTTCTTCATTATGAGCTGAGATTAAACTCTGATTTTCGTCATTCCTAAATCTTTCATGGTTGATTATAATGACTTACTGTCACATATCCATATTTTCCATTAAAACTTTTTTAAAGAAAATTTGATTAATTTATACTTCAATTAATTAAGGATGTATTTTTTATGTAATGATCTGACATAACCTACATATAATCTGTAGATAATTAATTAACGATTGAAGGGTCAAAAGATAAAAGCACTTAATAGCAGTTTTTATAGAAAATGAGTCAGCAGCGTGATTTTGTAGCTTTCAAGGAATCAAGAAGGGCCCCATAAATATTGGAACTAGTTGTACAACTTGGTTTAGTTAGAAGTGAGCCAAGTATGAGTATGCTGTGTTCTCATTATCAGTTTTATAATTTGTTGGATTAAGAAAAATCCAAGTATTTATGTGTGCTTGGTTTCAATATCATACAACAACCAAATTAGCATCAGCTTAGAATGTGTTTCTTAAGTTGAATAAACGTAGTGATATATTATCAAACAAATTTTTTAATACATATTTATGTTTGGCAATAGGGCTCTTATCATTAAATAATCTATTCACCCCAAACATATTAAAAAATCATCATCAATCAACATTATATTGTATTGATTTAATCAGTTTCAAATAAATAATATCATTTATTCTCAGACATTTCTATAATATGCTGAAGTTTCTTATGTAATTCCTTCAATGAATTTGATACAGAAAATTAAACTTGTTCACACTGCTAACTTTTATTCTTCTTTTCTATTCCCTTTCCCTTTTGAAGGAATGTCAATACTTGAAGCAAACTAATACTGTTACAGCCTGCCTTCACTTTAATAGGTTCAACACTACAAGCTGTATAGTATAGCATAGTTTGTTCAAGTATCAACATTTATAGCTTCCTTAAAAACCCATGCATTCTTATCAGCTGAAGAACATTTTAAAAGCCACTAAACCTACTAATTTAGATTTGTGTAATGCATGAGTAACAGATGTAGAAGAACTTTCAAATATATTTTTCTCAAAATGATATTTGATGTCATAGATTTTGGTCCTAAAGGTTTAACTAATATGAACCCAGATTCAAATATTGATTACTTTTATAAAAAGATAATTTGAAAATAAATCAGAGTATAATGATCAAGTAACATGGCTTATGTTGACATAATGAATAACTTATGAAATAAAGTGATTATTAACTTTGAAAAATATTAAGAGGTATCAGTTTTCAATTTGTAACGAGATATTTTGAGTAAAGACCACAAGATTACGTAACCATATCAACTGAATGCTAAATATACATACACGAATGCAAATACTGAGTCTGGAAAAAGTAGTAAGAGTTTAACTGTTAGGTAATCAAAACAATACAAAATTTAAAAAAAAAAAAAGCAACAAATTATACCAATCGCACAAAGTAACTTTAATGTTGAAAAAGAATATTCAATTATAAATAAAAAACTTATGGAATAGATATTAAAACAAGTAAAACTGTAATTAAAAGTTAAATAAATAAAACAGTTATCATATATAAATTAAATGTAGCTGCAGACTGTTGCCAAATCCCGTGCATGAGATAATGACCCTTTTAACAGTTTTCAAAAATCGAAACATGAAATAAATAGATATAACACAGACCAATAATTGTTGGTCAATCAATGGTAATGCTATGAGAATTTATCTATGATAGGTGGGTTATCACAAAACAAATTAAAACTAAACAAAATCCAAATTTATATAACTGATAAATTTATATAATATAGTTACCATTGAAACCACATAAAAGTCTGTCCAACTTGGTAAAGAGAATAGTATAAGGACCAAAGAGCAGTGAATGTAGACTTAGAACAGAACTTTTGTGAAAAAAACCTGAAACATGGTATGATTGAGGTGATAGGTTTGATATTAAGAACGTTGTATAACAATAAACTTGTTAATTAATGATGTTATCATTACCCTGTAAAAGAAAACAACATTCCTATCAATGCAAGTACATCCATCATATATTCAGTATCAAGGCCTAAATATGGTGCAAACCATAATAATGTTGGTTTTTTCTGTAATTTAGCGGCGAATTCGGTTTCTTTAACATCCATTTGAGTTCTTGCGGGAAGGATCCCATTGTTTCCATACAACCCTAAAAAGATAATAGGTACATTAGTAAAACAAACCAATAAAAGTAATCTTTAAAATGACAAAATTCTTCCTTACCTGGTATTTGAACGTAGAGAGATGCAAAAGCAAAAAGATAAATAGCACAAATGAAACGAAGAAACAAGTTACGTGTATAACGAATCTCGGCCATTTTGGTGATGTTTAGTGTATAATGAGATAAATTAATAATATATGGGCCAAAATAAATCAAAAAATTGAACTACACATCATATATTACGATAAGAGAGAAATCCTAAACCCCAAACCCAACGCTCATTTCCAACTCGCCCCTACTGATTTGGCCGCTGCACACTGCTCGACCAAGCTAACTTGCATTCGTATAACACACGGGTGCCACCTAAAACTTTATTTGTAATAATTGAATGTTAAACAGAGTTTAATCAGATTGTAATACTTCAAATTCTTTTAAATAAATATATTTAATCTCAAAAATAATAAAATAAATGTAATCATAACAAATGTATTTGTTCTTATAATTATAAACATGTATGTAATTCAATTAATTAGACAAACCATAATAATCCCATAAAATTTAATAACTATTAACTATTTTTTTATGTATTTACATTTACTGACAAGAATAAAATGGCGGCAAGTACCTTCGAATTAATTATCAGATAACAACCGGTTTATCTTCAACTGGGTTGTCTTCGAATTTTTCTTCTAATTTGCTTATAATCAAATTCTTAATAATTGTAGTAATTACGTCCCTATAAAGAAGATTGGAATTATTTATTAATTCATTATATTCTTTAATGATAAAGAATCACGTCGTACGAATCGTTAAATCACGTCACGCCTTCATTTGCATTGTAATTTGACAAGCTTAGTAAAAGAATTAAACACCTGATAATAGTTATCTTCAAAGTACGTTTTGGTCTGATAGCGAAGACTAGAGATACCTGCGCAAACGTGAACGTCCAAATGCAAACAATTGTGATCAATAACTTATCATAAACTTGCTACCTTTTAAAAACGTGCAATGGGTGATTACAAAAATCTCATTCACAAAAGTAAACTTCAAGATGATAAAACTGAAGAAGTATGTATTTTCTGTTCATGTATTTTTGAAAATTTATTCAAAACTCTATAGAGTTCTTGTATTTGTTTCAGAAATTACTCCAACCTTACACTTACTTGCTCCAAGTTCCTGGGAAGCAAATTAGGGCCAAATTAACTCATGCATTTAATTATTGGTTGGATATTCCAAATGACAAATTACACAGCGTGGGTGAAATAATACAAATGTTGCATAATTCAAGTCTTCTGTAAGTTGTCCTGTTTCATTTACATCCAACATTTCACATTGTACCTTAGTTTAAATATTGCTAATTTTATTGAAAATAAGAATATATTTTTCTTAGTATTGATGATATCCAAGATAATTCGATATTGAGAAGAGGAATCCCAGTGGCTCATTCAATCTTTGGAATCGCAAGCACTATAAATGCTGCAAATCATGTGTTTTTTCTCGCTCTAGAGAAAGTTTTGGCTCTGGGTCACCCTGAGGTAATTCATTTATTTTTGATCTGTTAATATGTTATAGTTATGGGTGATAAATAGTCAGGACGCAGTAATTTTTAAAATGACTGTCCGGATTATGTTATGATATGTAGAGCAGTCTACTAACTTCTTTCAATAATATTATAATTATGGGTAATATTTATTTTATTCTTAATTATTTCTGATACATGAACAATTAAATTGTTTCTACTAATGACATTTTACCTTTATATGGTGGGTTATTCATTCTGTCATGTCTGCATGTAACATTTTATCAATTTTCAGTATCATTTTATAAGGGTCACTCTAACAAGATGGGTGGGCACAATATCACATGATTGCTCTGTAGTTGGAATTCTGAAAGAGGCTGATTATTTAAAACTCCATTGATGGACTTAAACTCCCTTTATTAGATATTTGATTTCCGCTTTTTGTTTTCAAAGAGATCAACGGTAATACTGCACTAATGTCACTTCAATTTCATGGATGGCACGATATCTCATTATCACATCATAAATAGAATCCTGTAAATGGCTGAGTTTGTTCAAAAGTAGATGGAAGTGCCTGAATTGTCTGGTAAGACCCCTATTTCAACTGAAAACAATCTGTTAAGGCTTTTTTTCATCCATTCGTTGTGAGTGGGAGTCGAAAGCAGCACTGTAATCAAAGTTAATTAATATCAGAATTTCAACTGAAAATAGACCAGTTGGGAGTTTGCTAAGTTCTAAATCACAATTTATATAAAGATAAGTTATGCAGTGGACACGGTCAATCCTGGGCTACTCTTGGGATTCCATTTATACTGTGAACATGCGATCTTGGGTCTACTAGACAAAGTGGAGTGACATTTGTTTATTGATACCAAAAAAAAAAGATGTGGTCAAAACATTTCCTTTCACTACCAGTATTTTAAAAATCCATATACATATATTTAAATCATTTTAAAAATAAATTTCAGAAAGAACACAAAAAAAGTTGTCTTGTTTTGGCACCACTGTATAAATGGTGCTCCACCTTTTCTAGTGGGCCAAGACCTATAGATGATCAATCATATTACATATTAAAGTTTATTTTTAACTGAGTTAAATATATATAATGGGCTTATAAAATACTGGTAGTATTTAGGAATGTGACCATCATCTTCTTAATCTTAGTCATAATTATTCTTTGTATTTTATGGTTTTTGATTTAATTATCATAAATTTAAGTAAAAATACTTATTTGTTATTTCACTTCTAGGCGACTGCAGTTTTCACAGAACAAATTCTGGAGCTTCATAGAGGTCAAGGGATGGAAATTTATTGGAGAGATAATTTTACTTGCCCAACTGAAGAGGAATATAAAATAATGACAATGAAGAGTAAGTTATTCATGTAAATAGAATGTTACAGTTAAACGGTGATCGTATTATTTTTTTTTACTGGAACAGTCCTGTATAATTTACGCAACATCTGAAGTTATACAAAATTTTGTGTAAAAAAGGTATAATCTCGTTATTATTAATTAATTTTTAGCAATGTTGGCAAATTTGATTTTTTTGAATCATCAAATTAGTAAATTTTAACTTAAGTTATCTATCAATATTTTGATCTTAAAAGTCAATGAATGAAACAAACTTCATGAATACTATTTTAGTCCAAAATAACTTCTGTTTGCTTTAATATATTTCTGTCAATGCCATACAAAGTTTTCATCCCTTGTTCAAAGAAACATTTGACAATGGAAGTATCAAGATACTTGAGAAATGAAAATTTTTTTTTTTTAAATTGTGTCCAGTGCTAGGAAAATGTAATGGTAAGTTGATGAATATGTTGGATATGATAGAACCTCAATTTTCAAATCATGTAATGTAATATTCATTTCATTTTACTTTACGAATACATAATCTGAAAATCCAAACTCCATCCAACATGCTAGACTTGGTACTTGTCGGTTAGCTGGACAGGACAGACTGCTATCTGCCAATGTTTATGACCTGAACACTGATAATTCTGATAGGGCATCTCATAATTCCTATCTTTGTATTCATATTTATTGTATTATATTCATATTATTGAAATTGTAAGCAAAAACAAATGTAATAATAAAAAAATACTTTTATTTTACAACATATATATTAAATAAACGAAAACAAATGTAATAATAACAAAACAGTTTGGTTTGAAATTGAAATAGACAAAAAGAAATGTAATAATTCTCACAACAATGAAGAAACACTTTAATTTTACAACACATACATGAAATAGACAAAATAAATATAATATGAAAAAAAAATGAAATAATAAAAAAACTCAGGTAATTCAGCTGTTCAAAACAACCGGGACCACCCATAAATACATTTTAAAGCCGTTAAAAACGAAATCCTCGACCCCTCTAACCACGTTCCTTTCCTTATAGAAAGTTTTTTGTTACAAGTGCTATGAAAGCATCTCCATTTCGCCTTCCTGTCTAACTTCATTTGATGACCTTCTTCACACAATTTCACATTTGGAATTATCCCAGCATTTTGAAAATATTCAATAGCCTTTTCTTCTGAAAACGGCAATTCCCAGAATGTAATAACATCCATAATTTGACGAAAATAACAGAAATGGAACAAAAATAAACAATAGAATAACTCAAAGCTTTCATGAGATAAGAAGGGACGTTATGTGATGTAACATTAGATAACAAGGGAGGTTTTGTCCAAGCCTCCTAACCGACAAGTACCCTAGACTTTTCTCCAACTGAATTTAATTTTTCCATAAAAACAAAATATTCCAAAATGAATGCAAGAGAATAAATATATTCACTTCTTTAGTTTATTGATAAAAAGCCAAAAAGTTTCTTTGAAAAAACCTCATTAGGTGTTAGCACTTAATATGATAAATTTATGGTTTGAGTTTAAATATACAATTGAGTGAATCCAATTTTGTGTGTATTATTGATCAAACATGATATATCAAAAAAAAAATTCATGATCATCAAATATCTAATAAATATATAAATTAGCATATATATGCTTATGGTTCATTAAAATTACATATGTTGATTACTGTTATTTGACTTATAGCTATACATTATACAATAATATTTCATTTGCTTACAGAAACTGGAGGTTTATTCATGCTTGCTGTCAGGCTGATGCAACTATTCAGTAGCAACAAATCTGATTTTTCTTTTCTTAGCGGTATTCTTGGTCTTTATTTCCAAATTAGAGATGATTATTGTAACCTCTGTGATGTTGAGGTGAGTTCATTTGTTAATTAATTAATTGAAGTAATTAATAATAAACTAAAATGTTTGACCATCGAGTATGGGTCAAAGACAAGCTTCAATATCAGTCATCGTACATCATAATTGCAGAATTTCTATATTTTATTAATTAACTTTAAACCACCATTAATAAAATTATACAGCACATTGACTACTCACACAGGTCAATAGTAAACGCAAAAAATAGAGTCAATAAGCACATTCTTTTAACAATTATTGGTCTGGGCATTCTTCTTTCTACAAGATACAATTAAATTGATGTAAAAATATAAATTACCTGGGATATTTATAAATAGCAAACCAAGAAGAAGCTTGCACATCTAAATAAAATTTATATAATAATGTAGAGATGGTTGACCGTTGATATAATATGAGAAGGAGTTAGTCGAGGGTGAGGTCAAATAAATAAAAAATTAAAACAAATTAATTATTTTAATTTTTGCCGACGTTTCGACCCACTTTGCAGGTCGTGCAGGTCACAGTAATCACTGCCAGTGTTTCAACTGCCTCCCGCAGTGCCACATCCTACGCCCTGAAGACGACCTGCAAAGTGGGTCGAAATGTCGGCAAAAATTAAAATAATTGATTTATTTTAATTTTGTATTTATGATATAATTTTGTATTGACCGCACTGTCGACTAACTCCTTCTCATAAAATTTATATAATAAATCTAAATAAAATGATAATTTCCAAAAATGGTAGTTCTTAGAGCTTTATAATATTGGGGCCAGTATTTTCCAAAGGACATGTTGAAATCATTAAGAGTGATTAAAAAAACCTCAAAAGTAGTTTAACCTAAGGTTTAATATAATTGGACCTGTTCTAATAAGTAATATATATATATATATATATATATATATATATATAATTTCATTCTTCTTATCACTGTCTACAAGATCCATTAAAAAAAATTTTTTTTTTCCATAAACATATTTTTGTGGTCTTAAAGATCTCGATTATTATCACTACCATCTAACTATATCAATTCACTGAATAACTCTTATCTGAGACCTTAGAAAACGTTATTTTAATGGAAAAACTTAACAAACTAAAAGACTATAGTATGCACTATTCAGGTATGAATTTTTATAATTTTTTTATGTAACTGGTAATATGAATAACCGATGTGAAAGTTTGTTACCAAAAAATTTCTCTTTAACACATGTTTATTGATATTTTCCGTTTGAGGACCTACAAGAGAGAATTTCATGCAATCTGTATCATATTGTAGGAGCAACAATGCCAATACCCGGAAAAACGATTTTTCCACTGTTTTTCAACAGGTATTGTTGAACAGTTCGTCGTGCAAAGGTGATACTCGGATGCGTATATTTATTAGTCTCATTACTGCACAATAATCATTCTTTTGTAATTTTTTTTTTTTTGTAATTTCATGGTTTTGTCTTCAAATAAAGGCCTCAGGAACTGTGCTTTCTTTTTCGAATATTCTCATTACCGCGCATCAATAACACTCATCACCAGAGACAAATCATTGTTTAGTGTTAATGATGAAAACATTTTATAAAATAGGATATTTCATTATAAAAATTTTAAAACATCTTTTTTTAAGTTTTGATTAAGGGGCTCCACCCCACCTACCTAATCTAAATTGAGATTATCGGAGTAAATGACACCATGTTACACATTTTCAGTAAACAAATTTAAAGTTTAATTTTGAGAATATCTAATGACATTTTTTACTGGTTCCTAATCAAATATAGGATTATAATATTATTTATTTTTTTAAATATCTAATAAAGTAAAAATGAAATTAGACCAAAAAAATTATTGAATATACTTCTTTATGATCCAAAGAAACCACATGAAAATTTATCACCCTTAAAACCCACTTTGTCCCATCTCGACCCACTGACTTACCACTGCCCCAGTTTTGAAGCCTAGTAAAATGTTTAGATTGGCTTTATTTATTTTTGACATAAAACAGAGTGTAATTCTCTAATGCTCCGTGAAATTCTGAATCCAATGAATTACTACTTTATTGCATAGTATAGTACTATTTTTATATTTGGACAATTGTTTTCAACCTGATGAAATATTTAATATTTTTTCTTTAGTTAATCGTATAATTTTCTTTGTACTTTATTTTTATCCATCTTGTTATTGCTACTAACAATAAGAAAGATTTATTATTTCAAATAGAATTTAAAATAATCAATTAATGTTTTAATAATTTTGTTAATCTTCCAGCCGAAGTCAGGTTTTAATTTGTTATATCTTCTTTTCTTGCTAAATATCTGCCTACATTATTTTTTGTGTATTCAAAGCCTGTATTTTAAGCACTAATTTATTTCATTTCACTTTAAGCAATATCTATAACATAAAGCATATTACCTTCTTATACTTTCCTTGGGCGTTTTGTTGCGGAGCTTGCAACCTATTGCCCATGCTGATTGCCTTCGTTAGTTCTATATCCAATATTACTAACCACTACTTTTGTATTTTTCTAGAAATTGAAAATTAATGCAACTACCACATTCAATAATTATTAATTAAATAATTAATAATTACTTTTCTAGCCTTAGTATATACATATAAAATATTATGTAATGTCTGATCATAATTTCGTTGTTTTTTTTTCAGTATGCTGACAATAAAAGTTTCTGTGAAGATTTGACTGAAGGAAAATTTGGTTTTCCTATAATGCATGCTATTCTATCCCGACCAGATGACAAGAAGGTGTTCAGTATCCTTTTTTTATTTTTATAGATGTTTAATCAATAGTATTTTTCACTATTTTTTTTTTTTTCCAGAGACATACAATTTTAGGAAATAATTTTTTTTAATTTTCAATTAAAAATTCTTTATATATTGTTTCACAGAAGCCAAGAAGCTTGAAACAGAAAAAAAAAACACTTTTATTTTTAAAAAGTATCGGCATCACTAGAATTTGTATTGTCGATAGTTTTTCGGTTCTTTTGGAACTAGAACTTTTTCCCTAGGAACTTTTCAAATAAAGGTTATCAGAACTTTTATTCAAAGTTCTACCGATTTCGCTAAAAAGTTCATCTTAAACCTATATTAATAGCTACTTAAACAAACAACACATTAGAGTCAAAGGTAATTCATTTAAGACAAATTATAACTCTAATATTTTATTTAATGGGATTTTTTTTATGAACTTTAATAAATACAAGTTAATCTTTTATCACAAACCTGGAACTTCATTACAAAAAAGTTCCTTAGAACTTTTAAAATGGGACTTTTTTACTAAAAATTTTCACAGAAACTAATACAATGGAACTTTTTAAAAAAGTTTAAATCTCTAGTGAAAAATTTTCTTTAACACTCTATCAAAACTAACGATTAAGCTATCATTTTAAAGATTACCTTCTTCACTTGTGCCAAAAAATTAACTTTCTCCAGAACAAAATGGATATATGTTTAACTCAATAAGTAAACTTTATGGTTAGTTATGTATTATACATATTAATTTTAAAGATAATAACATTGGCTACAAAAGGAAAAATAAAATACCAAAATCTAACCATTTTACAACCAATTGGATTTGGTATATATGCTTTGGATTAGTGTTTTCGATTATGAACATTTGTAATTGTAAAAGAAAAAAAAATGTTTGTTCTACTAAATTGAATACATAGTGGGTACTTATTTGTTTATTAAATGACCATTTGTTTACTGCCTAAAATACTATGCGAATTATTTACACTGTCCAAATAGTAATTAATATTCCTTAAACTTTTTAGGGTAAATGTACCAGTAATGAACAGTTTTTAACTCATTAACATGTAATAAGCTTTATACGTCCAAAAGAGAGTGCAAATATGATTAGATTTGAAGCTAGAACACCTAAGAGGGTAATACCTGAACCTCAAGTGGTATGCCACAACTGGTTGATTATTTAAGTTGATTTTCAATGGGCAAGGCCGGTTGTTTGTTTCAGGGAGCTTTCCTTATCACTCTTCTTTGGGAGATAGGTTTGAATCTTTTATTTATTCATCTGTAGTTTGCCATTTATTTGTTTAAAACTGTGGAGGATTTATTTTGGCTTTTATTTAATTATATAAAAAAATATGTTGACCTCAAAACCTGGGTGTCTTAGTGGTACCAAATACACTGTCAGAATTTCCTAAGTGTTTCATGAATAATAAACTAATTGGCTGTATAAAAAAAAACAAAATTGATAAAAGACTAAATTTGCTTTTAATTGAATCCATTTGCTAAGATCCACTGTCAGAACTTAAGTTGTAATTTACATTAATGTTGTAAAATTCTCTTAAAGTGTCTATTGTCGGTACACTTAACTTAATTAATGGACACAAAAATATACAAATCTAATTTCATTACAAAAATTAAGATTTTCAGTACTTTTCTTTTAAATATTTCAATCAAATATTGAAATCAGTTAAAACTGAAAAAATAACAGTTAATAAATAAGATGTGGAATAAGACTCCTCTAAATGATTTAGTGTTCGTCAAATGCAATGATAATGGCTTTGGCAAAATGTACTTATGTTTTATTCAATAAATAATTGTTCGAGAAAGATCTCTAAAATATTCTTTACTTTTTTCAACTCCTGCTATAAGTTTGTACAAACTTTATCATTTACATGTAGTTGAGTTATTGTTTTGTATACAATTTTTGTAGTTTTTTTCTATAGATTTTCCAGACTTTGAAGCACTTTGCCACCTTAAATAGACTGATTTGCTTCTTCTTAGCATAGGCTAGATGTGTGTTTTCTGTGGTATCTTTGCTGATTGTTATTATATATTGTAATATCTCTTTCTTATATTTTTTAACTAGTAATAATATCTCGGAAGACAACGTTATACCTTTGGGATACTTCCAAAAGAAATAAGAGGTTATCAAATAATAAACAAAATGATAAGAGTATTAATATATTGAATTGAAATTTATAATTATTATATCTCAGGTATGGGTTACTGACAATCTGATCAAAACAATCAGACAAACTATTATTACACTATTTATACTAAAATTAACTGATTTTAAAATAAAGTCAAATATGAATTGGCAAGCTGACCTTTTTTATATAGAAACTGTTTCTTCCTTTGTTGCACTAAATTCATTTGTCTTCAAATGTTTTCATATTTTCTGCCAAATACAACTTCCAAAATGGTAGTGACACTTCCTTCTACTCAACTCAAGCACCCTGAGAGATCCTGTCTCTTGTAATTCAAAACAACTAGTGACTCTGTCAAACAAAAACTTCCAAGATTGTAATACTATTACTGGTTTTTACCCACTGGAGCCAGAATCCTTTCTCCTATCCTCTCTTCACTGCAGCCAAACAACAACTGCTTGCCAAAACAAAATCATTAGTTCTTCCCCTCCCCTCTTTGGGATTTCCCTTTCTGAGGAAACTACAGAGCAGCTATTTTCTTTTTCCTGAATTAGCTTAGCTAGGTTAGCTTGCTTTTTAACTGTTACATTAATTTATTAAATCATTTTTAACTACTTTCAATTAAGGTGTATATTACAATATATCTACATCTGTGATAGCTATTGCTGATTTATCTATCTGCTTGGTTTTTGGCCAAATGCATGGTCTCTTGCCTAATACTGTTGTTATTTTAAATTTTTAATATAATATTTTTAAGCTTATATCACATTTTGCTCCTCTGATTACAAGAATTAAGTGTTAATTATTTTTGATGTCTTTAAATCCTACTACTTAGAGCGTTATGATTATTATAAAATTTAAAGTATAAAAAAAATTATATTAATGTATTTTTATTTTTATTTCCATGTTTCTTCCTTAATTTTTAAATAGACATACTTCGACAGAGACCTAAGGCAGTTGAAGTGAAACGTTACTGCATCTCTCTTTTGGAAGAATTTGGATCTTTTGATTACACACGTAAAGTTCTTGATGATTTAGAAAAAGAAGCGAGAAATGAAGTAGCAAGGTTAGGTGGAAACCCACGTATGGATTCATTGCTCGATGAAATCGTAATAAGTAAGAGGGGTGTATAAAACTCTCATAACTATTTTATTTTTAACGAATCTTCAGCAGGTAACTTATGATTTAAGGCTTCTTTCTTTTTTTTTTTTTTTTTTTAGTAACTTATGATTTCCTATGTGAAGTGTTAACATATTTGTAAAGAAGTATTATTTGTAACCTAATTCCAAACATTTTTATTGATCTTTGACTCTTTGATTCTTTGACTACAGTTGACTCTTTCTTATCCAGTATTACTGGTTAGGATAAATACTGTAACTGAAATAGCATTTTGTTTTTAATTAAAAAAAAAAAAGTGGATTGATTAAAGTAAAATCTATTCAACAAAGACGACTAAAAGTTTTCATTACACATTTGCAAATTTTATTATAAACCTAAATATTTTTTAATTGATATTTTATGAAAAAGAACATAATATATCTTATCCACAGTTATTTAACATATCGATGTATTCAGCTTAGGGTGTAGTTAATTTCAATTTTCCCAGTCACATCAAATCTTTCTTGCTAGAGATTTCTAGTTTCTAACTTGACGAATGTGACTCGACTAACTGAGTCCTTGATATGAGCCTTAGATTGGATTATGTCTCTTTAAAAGTGACAATTCCTCACCTTCCTATTTAATATCAATGGAGTTTATCATCAAGCATGTAAAAGGTTGATTTATTTTCACAAAATTAAAAAAATATTTGTTAAATTTCCTCCCTTCCTCCCTCTTGGTTGATTATCCCTATTTCTTAAAAAAATTACTTGAAATAAACTGATTCGATATTTTTTGATAGTGTAAATTACTTGCTGTAGGTTTAGGGTCTACTGCACCAATATTATGGTGTTGCTCCCAGTTCATTTATTTTTTTATGATAATAATTGTTTTTACAAAAGTATCGGGTTAAATTATGGAAATTGACAAATTTATAAAGTGTCATCAAATTCATAGCTCCAAGTTAATAATCTTTGTGTTGTGACATTGTTGTATTTTACAAGTGATATTGGAATGGATTATTTAAGAAATTAAGTTATTTAAGCGTTTGCTGTTAAAGTTTGTCTATTCATTGAGGTTTTGATGCCTAAATTAAACAGACTGACCAACATAATCTTAAATTATTATATTAAGTTTCATTAGACATATATGAATATCATTTGTCCACATAAATTTAGTCATTAAATTGCTCAGTTTTAAAAATTGTTAATTTTTAAGTATCTTTTTAACTAGTCAATTTTTAACAACTTTATTATCATTAGCGGTAAGCCTAACTAGGAAAAAAAAAAGGATAAAACTGAGTCATTTAGTAATATGAATTTATTCTTACTGACATTTAGTGTTAAAACATAATCAGTGGTATTTTTGAAATTAGATTTTTAATGAGACATCAAGCATCGATACTTTAATTCTTGTACTCACTCGACTTACTACTATATGTATTGGAAACATCCAACATCGATGTTTTGTGTTCATTACCCCAATGCTTCCACAACTAACTGCCTATTGTCGTACTTCATATTTATCAATGACAATCTTATTTACAAAGTGTTTAGTCTCTTACAAGACATGCATTATTAGGTTTTAGTGGGTAATGTATGGTAACTATGTACTATAACAATGAATACTACTTAGCTCAAATAATTTCAAATTTTATTTCATTTGAGATAAAAATATTTAATGCTTCTTAGAAATAATATATTTTTCATTATTAATTCTGTCCTTGTTTGGAATAATACTTTTCAAGTACTTTCACGCCATATTAGCATAACTTATCATCAAATAATTTTAATCATTAATAAATTTTTAATTTTATTGATCATGAAATGGCTTCATTTCTTTTATTTACTGCTATTGCAATTCATATTTAATTATAACAAGCAATGATTATTAGGTCAATTTTATTTATATTTTTAGTTTTGGTAATAACAAAGCAAGAAATAAATTTCAGTATTCTAATAAATGATATAAAATAATGAATGTTAATTTAATAGCAATTGAAAATGTTTAATATTAAAAAACAGCTTTTATGATTTAACATCGTTTTGAATTTTGTGTGGTTCCATTGGACATGAACCTATGCACTATTTTATCCACAAAATAAATTAAAAGGTCAGTAAAACTTATATTATTTTTATGGTAAGGTTTTTTTTTTTGCCATAAAACATTTGCAGAGGTCGCTTAATATGTTTAAAATAATGGCCAGTCCAAAATAATGCCTTAATTAAATAGAAGGTCAATTATTTGATATTAAAATAATTTAAACTATATTTCAAAGATGTATTATCGGAAACCGTTTCAAGTTGGCTCAAGAAAATGCAAATGCTGTTATGTATGTATATATTTTTTTTAAACCCGCATTGTTGGTAATCACGAGAGTTATTGATAGAATGTTTTTGAACTTAATCCTTAAAGATGGTATATCAGTTCTTGAACTGGTAGAATGAATGATAAGTCATAAGATCTGAATGAATGACAAGTGATTCAGAAATGAGAAAGATCTGGTTTTAGCTCTTCATATTCCTCTCTATCTCTAATTATCTATCTTTTTAAATTTTAAGGGAATACACATTCTCTTATTATGGTTTAAGGCCAAATGTTTACCTTTTGCAAATATTGTCAATAACTCTTTTATTGCAACTGAAATAAAATCTGTTTTTATTTAAGGTCTTTTTCTCAATGGTTTGTTTTCTCTGATTATATTGTTAAGGATAAACTATGTAACTTCAATTTTACTAAACTTTCTAGACAAGTATAAGTAACAGTTACGTAATACTTGGAAACAACCTCTATTCCGCTTTAACTAAGATTCATTTCCAGTACTCTGTTTTCTCCTTTTGAGGCAATCTGAAATTTTAGTAACATTTTAATTGTTATACTATTAGGGCGAATCGAAATCAATGCTAATTTTGTGAGCTTTCATAAAACGATGATTCAAGTAATTCACTCATAAATTCTGCTTTAAATGCCAGCTAAAGGGGATGATATAGTTTTTCAAACATCTAAAATTACATCAAAGCCAGAAAAAAAACTAAACTTTAATTTTATGGAAGAGAAATACACACGATCTACTTTGTGTAATTAAAAATTCAAATCTTAACTCATCATTATCATGTTCATCTTTATAAATAAATACTAATGCATATGTGTATTACTGTCAGTAGATGACATCAGGGTGACTTATAATGTGGGCCATGACTTTAGCTTAAAGAATTAATATTAAAAAAGTTGTTTCAAATTAATTCCAAAATGTATATCATGTTTTGTGAGAATTCTTCTTTCAGTAATTTTCCATTTGTGGTTACACTGCCATACTAGCATAGGATCGCTCAATTATTATATATATATATAAAGTATCATACAGGTCTTAGATATTTTCATTCACGCTATCTATCAATTCATACTTATTCCATATTATATTGTTTGTTGTATCAATAAATTACTGCTTGTATACCAATTAAAAAGAAGGCACTATAAATAATTTTAAATTTCAATTATTTTTGTATTGTACTAATTAAATTGAAACAAAACACCAAGATATTATTGCTTGCGGCTTAAATAGTATATTACTACTTTGGTTTTTATGCTTACATTTTATAAAGTTACCTGATAATTAGCCATTCCTGTGCCAAAGCTTTTTACATTGACAATAATTAGATTGTAGATGAATTTTATCTACTGTATTTAAATTAATGTTTATAACAGTGATAGTTTATATTTATAGAACACTATTATTGTAGTGGATGAGATAAAGAAGTGTAGTTTATTATAAAAATGAATCATTATTAAATATATATACTTAATAAGCATTATCAGAATTAAAATTGACCAAGTCTGTGACTTTGTATGATTTCAGCCACCACATAAAATTAATGACTTGAGTTGTCATAATTATGTAAGAGTAATGTACAATATTCCTATTTTCACAAGCAAAATCAAAGCATTAATTTAGTTATTGATAGTTTACTAATTTTCCAAAGACTATTCAACTTTGTTAAATAATGAGCTATAAACCTTATTTACATAATGGTTTTGAATAATTTGGTTTTTCATCATCAATAGTTTTAGTGGTGACGCTGAGATTATGAAATGTCCTTCTATAGTTCTTTGATTTACTAGTCTTATCAGTTTATGTTATAGTAGTTTGAACTTACGGTTATGGTTATTAAAGTCTACAATTATATGAGCCATTGGTACTTACTATTTGAATATCATTCTCATTTTTATATTTTTCTCCCTAAAAATGTCTTTATTACATATTCTATTCTATTTTTCATTATAAAGTTTAAAGATGTCTATGTATATCTATACTTGTAATTATTATGGAAGGCTTTAATTTAAAACTGAAAAGTGGTAATTTTTATATGTAGCTACTAAACACTTTGATTAAATTATTAATTATATAGTCAAACCCTTGTTAACTGGAGCTCCCCAACAGAAATAGATAAATAAAAAAACTTAAATTTAACATTGATATAAGTAAATCAATTAAAAACAAGCAGGTGAAAATTTAAAGAAGAAAAATATCAAACAATAACATATGTGTATGCTTTTCTTAGCACTAAATAAATTATAAATTTACGAGATTTGTATTTAATAAGGAAAAGAATTATATTATTGATAAAGAGGGAATCCTGAACAATTTAGATTTCAATAATATTTTTTCTTTGGTTGACACTATAGGCCACAGATCTTTGGCTGCATGATGTGGTTCAGTGATTAACCCCTGAAATACAAAAAAGAATGTAGAAAAACACTTCCATGTAGTTCTGAACTTTTGAAGTCAGATTTTCCTGTACAGTTAATCCCAGGCATGAGTAATGTGTGCACAGTTTTATTTTTTGACCAGAACTGATCGTACAAATATGAGTTGCTCAATCCAAAGGAAACAGCCTGCTGGAGGAAGTATGAGAAAGAAGAGGATGCCAAAATGAAGCTCAATTCTCAAACACCAAGTGAGTCCAAAGACCATACAATCTACACCAATTGATACATTAATCAGCCCACTATTAGACATTTATAAGTCAATGGGTAATACTTGGCCCACACCAAATTACCGTGATCATACACATATTTTCATAGCTAGTCCTTTTGGAGCGAATCTGGCAGTGTCCTTCCCACCGACCTGTGTTCAAGAACAATGACAAAGATCCATAAATTATGGCTGCTCAGAGTCAGCGGTTCCACAAAAACCTGTACTTCTTTCTCTGAAACAGATCATCCATTGACCAATCCTCTGAAGAGGCCCATTTCTGATTAAAGTATTTGGGGTCAACTTCTATGCCTAGGCGGTATAACTTTCCACAGTGGACAGTCTTTTTCTTTTTTTTTTCTTTTCTCCCTTGCACATCCTTTTTCAGCTGTATGGTTTTTTTCCTGGGCTAAGGAGAGGACAGGGGTTAATGCCAGATTTAAAACCCCCTAGTTTTGGGAATCATACTCATAATCTTCAGGTTATTAGGTTGCCAGTTGCAACCCATGTATTGCCAATGCATTAGCCTGCTCAGCAACCTCCCCCCTCTCCTGCTGCAAGATGGACGACAACCTATCCAAGTACTTAACATGCTCTATTTTGCTTAACACTGATTACATATTGCAAGCATCTTAGCCTGTTCTGCAATCTCAGTCATTGGGATGTAAATATTAATATATGTTATTTTTTTAAAACATGACCAGATTAAAATTATAAAATATAATTTTGATTTAGTTTATATAGAATATTCTTAACTAATTATAAAGAGCCAATTATCGGGAGCTTTTATAACCATTAGGGTTTGACTCCATTGTTTAAAAATTATTGTTATTTTTTATATTTATCTTAGATCTCAGTTTGGATTTTGTTTGCCTTAAATTATTCAATATTTAGACATAATAATATTACAAAATTGACTTTATTACAATTAATAATTTCCAATATATATATATATATATATATATATATATATATATATATATATATATAAATTAAAACAAAATACTTATTATTTACAATATGTATTTAGAACTGATTTTATTGTATTGAACTATAAAAAATTGGGAAGTTAATTTTGTTTTGAAATTAAAGAATTTTGTTTAAGGATAAAATAATAAATGAAAAAATAGTAATTTTCACTTACTGTAGGTAAGATAAGAGTGGAGATAGTAAAATGTTATTTTGTACACGTACTTGAAAAATAAGAAACTTATTAAATTAAGAAAAGTATTATATTATAATTTTAATGTGTTGTTATTAATTTATGTTTGGGTTTTAATTTTAGTTGATTCCTCTTCCTGTTATTTTTATATTTTTTTTTTTGATCATTGTAATTTATAATTTTTGATGTTTGTTATTTTTTTAATTTATAAGAATACTATCATTGTTAATATTATTTTAAAATGTTTTATTTTATGATGTTTTGTTGTTTAATTTGAAAAAATCAACATATCGTTATACAGTATTTGAGGGATGTAAAAATGCACTAGTGCTAATTACTGCTGAAAACATATCTCTATAAATGTTATTTTGTTACAGTTCCAGTTTCTCAATTGACGTTTTAACAAATTTCATCGACTCAAGTATTTTGATCTTGTTTAATGATGAAATATGAACAGAATAATGTCAGAAATTTTAAATTCTTGAATTAAAAAAAAAAAAAACCAAAGGTGGTTTTAATATTTCAGTTATGTATGAGTCTTAAATACTTAAATGTAGTACTTAAAATATTAATATGTATGCAATCCTATAATTATTAATACCTTTAAGTTTAATGAATTGCATTTTTTTTTAAATTTTGTTATTTAGGGAATAAAATATTCACTATTACACTGCATTCTCTTTTTTAATGTATAATATGAACTTGTATAATCCCATAATTTTAAACATTTTCTCAGGAAATGAGTTTCAGAAACTATGCTGGTCCTTTTATTAATCTTCCAATATTTGTATTTAGCTTGTGAGACAATTAGGATCCAATTTCCCAAAAAATTAGATAATGTAATAACTCCTGCAACCATAAATTCAATGTTTGAAATCTATTGGACAAGTTGGTCATGACATGCACTTATTATGCCGTTGTTAAAAAATGAATGTTCCAAACTGAAATTTCATTTTGAAAGTAGGTATGCGACGGATGTTGATATATAAATATTTTTCTCAAAATCTAGCAGAAAGTGGCATTTTATATAATTGACTTCACACATTTTTACAATTTTCTTTGCTCTATTAATTTTTTTATTTTGTTTTCCTCCCTATCCTGCCTTTGAGCCAATACAGGAGTTTGCAGCAGTGAGTTGGTACACATGCCTACATAAAAAATCACTGCTGCAAGTTTACCTGTTAGATTGATAAATTGCTGTACACACAGCTTGCTTTTATTCATTGTTCATTTCATTTCTTCCATCATTTTTTCAATCCTGTTCTGTCCGGCGGTCTTCCAGGTACTATATCTTCTCTCCTACAAAAGGAGAAGTGGGTTAGACTCACAGCTTCATTCCACCCGCACACAGGGCTTTTAAAGTGCGTGTAGTTCTGTCTAGACATTAGTTGGGGAACTCGTTTTCTCTCATAGTTCCGTGCAGTCTTCAACGATGTGCACACAAAATAAATTTTCTTCGCTCTTAACGATTTTGATTAAACTCATCATATAGTTTGTAATCATCACTATTCCTATTATTAAAATTTTCATTTATGTTGAGAGATAATAATAAATAGCAACTTATAGGATTTATGATTCATTAATAAATCCCTTTATTTTTACAGGATATTGTTATCACATTTTGCTATGGTTTGAAGAAAAGTTGAACAGCATTGGCAGAAGTTTATCTTGCTTCGCTTTCCTCAATCTCACATATTGTCCCAGTCTCCCCTAGACAGTTTCTCTCCATGGAGTCATAAGCTGCTTCAAAAACAGACAAATAAGGCTTGCACATCCTGAGCTTCTTCCTATCATTTTTCAAACACATGTTATGCATCCACCACTCCTGTCTACATCCTGCTTGGTTGTTGCCTTGCCATATGGCAACACAGAAGGATTACTCTGCCTCTGTAATTACCGAGCTTCTTATAATTAATTATCTTTTCTTATTCCCATATTTTACCATTAAGAATAGGCATAAGAGTTATAAGTATATCTCACAAATATGAGAAAATAGATTTATTTGGTTTACTGACTTTTCAATCAACGCATGTGGGTTATCATCAGTAAGGGGCTAGGCAAGAGTTATGTGAAGTGCACACAATGCACATTGGATTAAATTTTGTTTTCAGTTTTTATAAAACGATAATACTAATGAATTCTTTCATTTTTTCTATTTCTATTTTGAGTACACTGTTTCAACCATTGTGAAGTAATTTTCCAGTTAGTTCTCATAATAAATTGACAGCAGGGTGTAGATTTTTTCTCAACATCCATTCTTTATACCATGACCATGTTTCATGGATTTTTATTACCTACTTGATAAAAGTAAACAACCAAGATACAATCATCTCATACCACAAGATCAATTGATGGTTAAATCCCATCGTATGGTTGCTCATCGACTGTACAGGCAAACCTGCTCAGGTATACCTTAATTGACCAAATATTTTTTGCCCTAAATCAGACAGCCTATTTTTTTTGGAATAGGAGAGAAGAAAAGCATGTATATATGTACAAATTTTGCTAAATTAAAAACTGCTTGCTGTTTAGATTCATTTAATTTTGCATTTAATTTTCATCATATGAGCTAATTAGTTTCAGTAATTTTGGTGATGATCATTATATTAGCTACTTAAGACAAAATTAATTAAAGCAAAAGTATTTCTTTTCAAAATTTAATTTAAAACTGCTTCTCAGCCTTTCATTTTTTATTTGCTGAAAAAATTCTCTCAAGAGTTTCATTGCTTTCTGGAAGGAAGCAAACATTAAGTCCGGTTGTCCAGGTCGTGGCGGATTAGTATGTAGCACTAGGGGATCCAGGATTTAATTTTGGAAAAAGGGGGCTTCAGCATGAAAGATTGTTTTTAATTTATATAACGATAATTACTTTGTAAAAAAAGAAAGATACTAACTACCTAAATGAAATGGTGTCTAAGTGATGGCACCGGGACGCGAACTCCTGTCTATTTTTATCTAGTTATCAGTTGTCAGGTTGCTGGGCAACGGCGGTGCTGTCCACACACGTTAGCCCACTCGGCCACCACGCCCACACACAATTACACAAACAATAATACTTTTAAGAGATCTTTTTTTTACTATAAACATGGCTACATTTTAACATTTTGGGGAGGAGGGCTTCACCCTGAAAGCCCTCTTTCTGTTGATCCGCCTGTGCTATGTAGTTGGGAAGGGAAACAAAAGAGAATGGGATGTAAGGCTTGAGCCATGTTTCGGAAATCGCAATGATGTGGTAAAAGTTTTGATGGGTAAAATAATCTAGGAATTCATTGAGCTGGAAGGGATTGGGAGTTGACATGACAGGTGGTTAGGGACACTAGACATGAGTAGGATTTAGGAGAGTACAATCGGCATTTGATGGGAAGACGCTGGAATAGATTAGATACCTTAAATGTGAAATGAAAATATATTTTATTATTCTGGGACTGTTGTCCCTTTAGAACAAGTTATAAGTACAGATTGCATGTCTGTATGGTCATAAATAAATTATATATTTACAATAAGACTTAATTGAAAATAAGAATATAGAAGAAGAGAGAGAAAAAGACAAGAAAATTGCACATATACATCATAAGAAACTAAAATAACCTAAATAAATTGAGGTAGTCCCTGGGGGGTACTTAGATAGTTCTCTCAGGTATATTTCGTAATCAGTCCGATTGAGAAAGGTGTTGAAAGAGGAAACTGATTATGCGTCTTGAATATTAGCAGAGATGGAATTCCAGAGGGAGACGGCTTGAATTGCAAATGTGATGAAAAAATAAAATAAAAGAATCCAGGAAATAAATGAATCAGTGAGTAACAATGGTAAGATTTTCGATGAAAGTCCACTGAGCGGGTTAAATGTTGACCGATGCTGGAACGTGAACGAAATTCGAGCCGTCAGCCGAAGACATCTAAGTCTAGACATCTAGGCCTGGTCCATGAAGCCGTCGTCTTTTCGTCACCTTAATCTGCCAGCAGTAAACCAGGTGTACTTTATTTTTCCCACGGTTTTCTTCTGTCGAGCGAGCCAGTATAGATGCCTATTCATCAGGGTCATCTCCTCGCTGAGATAGATATGGTGGCAGTCATTTTGTGTACTGAACTAAGTTAGACGTTTGTCCAAGTGGAGATCTAGGTAGCTGGTTTATTTAACGGGGGTAAGAGAAATATTACTGAAGACTATTGCAGAACAAGAAGTCGTTGGTTTACGACATTGAAAATAATAAATAAAAAATATCGTTTCGTCGAAATTTTTACCATACCTCTTTAAAAACGTTTTCTCAACTATACTTTTCTTCTGATGCCTGAAAAGAAACTTCTCAAAATATGATAAATTCGATGATAAACCATTTGATGACCATAGGTTTTAAGCTTATTTACAAACTGAATATTCATTAATAGATAGGTGTTCTAATAAATTAATTATCTTTCAACTGGAGCCATGTTCTAAAATTGTTAGCTGAACTGTGCCGAAGAATTTTCTCTCCAGGAAATTAGTTTTATAGAAGGGAATAGTGTTACAATTTAAACAATAGAGAGATAACGAACTGGTTGCTACCGTTGCTAACAATGAGGGCCTGGTCCGGTTGGAGGAGACAATGGCTACAGGATCTAGCCTAATTGATGGTTATGCCTAGTGTGTCAGCCTTCTATATCGCCGTTAATACACCATTAGTATCGATAGTCAGAGCCGTTAACTGCAGTCTCATCGATCCTATCCCTCCTTTCTTTCCAGTTTATGTCCTTCTTCTTCTTCCATTCATTTTATTATCATCCATTGTGAAATTAGAAATTCAAAAACGACAACCTTGATCGATGAGATGTCTTGCTTTCAATGGCCCGTATGTATTATAAAGAGGGACGTCTTTCATTTAACTCTTTCAACGTTAAAATTTTAAATTTAGTAGGAAAACGGTCAAGCTAAAATAAATGGCGATGTTGATGATACCAAATTTTACAAAATTGTTTTTTATTGTTTGAAGTGATTCATCAAAGCCAACAGTAAAGTACTTGGCCTCAGAAAGTACCTGAGAAGTTCCTATCTCTCCCACCGTACTAAACCCCTCTTGTAAATGATCCTTATGAGGATCGTCCTAACTTATGGATCAGAGAATTGGACCATCACTAGTAATGAGGAGAGGAAGATCCTTATATATGAAGGAAAAATATTTCGATGAATTGGGAAATTTGCCAGTTTTGTAGCGAGGCTGAAGAAATGTGGTATAGCAGGATAGGAGCTCTGCGGTGGGGTGGCCACGTCGCACGTATGGCGGAGAAAGAGACACCAAGGTAACTGCTCGATGGGAGGGCACCGTTGTTAGGAATGCCCATAACCTACAAAACATCTAACTGGCGAGGGCGACACATTAGGTCGAGCTATCTTTCCAAGACTTGCTGAGAAGGCCTAGGAGAGATGTGGTATTCTGTAGCACCAAGACTCATGATATAATACGACCGTGAACATTAAAACTGTAATGGAAAATACTTTCCCACTGCACAGTCGAGGCTGCAGGCAAAGTGGATTCTCTCGAAAAAAACTGGATTTTCCAATTCCTCACCGGGCAGCGAGGATTTCGGTCCAAGCTTCACAGTCCTAGCACCAAACTGTATTGTATTTGACCACGAATGCACCGAATTTGAAGAGCCACGTTGATGAGCGGGAATCTACAATCTCACTGAAAATGAGTTTCCTCAATTAGTAATTAAGAACAATTTCTCGCGGTTCAAACAATTCTTTATAGTTGGAAATCAGCAGTGTGGTCGGCACACTTTCACATCGGAAACCGAAGTCTTCTTAGAGGCGTTTCACCAGCTAGAGCGCCTGACCCACAGGAAGATAGATGGCGAATCAAGCAAATAGAAGATCTTAAGGAACCAGGAGAAAATTGTCAACAGTTGTATTCCGCATTCAGCTAAGTTCTGCTGATGCTGAATCCCGTATTGCCATACAAGCTAGGTAGTGATGCAAATAAATAATTGCGTCTCTACATGGTCATCGCGTGTAATATAGATGCTAGAATAAAAAATTAACAAGTGCACTCCTCAACCTGTCACATTGGCGAGTTGCCTATTACCACAAGCACACGAGTTTTATATCATTACACTTCCTCTATTGGCCAATGGACGTAATTATTATAAAATGATTATTTATCATTTTTTGAATATTTGTTTCCGATCCATGGCGCCTTCTAGTAGTGATGTTTATAGACCTCATCCAGATGCCATAAACCACGTTTCGCAACGAACTCTGACTATAATTTTTCTCCAAGTTATTTTAAGTGGGAATTACTAAATGTTGACATCTAACAGTTGCAATGCACAGCCGATTATATGCTGCATTAAATTTAGAATATTTTTTAAAAACTGAGGATTTAAAATAAAATGTATAGTTTCGGTTAATAATGATGATGGTACAAAGTACTCTAATAAAATATTGAAATTAATTTCTTAAAACCTTGAAACATCGGACCTCGTTGAGTTTGCCTAAAAAACCTTAATTACATTCTTCCAACTAGTTTGAATTATTTGATTCATAAACTGTAACTTTTTGTGTACAATTATGAACTCCGAATCAAAAACCTAATTGTATAATTGCTCGATTAATTAATTTGTTGCTTTCGAAATGATCTATCAACCTTAATTCATTGTTGTCAAGACCGCATTCTTTTGCAAGTGGTTATTGTTTTTACTAAATTAAATATCACTTCTTGATTAGAATTTGAACCTAACGTAAATAAATATCTTTTGTTGTCGAGATTAATCAATACATACACTCGAAACCTCTTCACTTCTGGTATCTCTTGAAGGATTGTTTTTCAGAACGGAAATATTTATGGTCAATTCGAGTGCCTTATTTATTAATCTTTTTTTCTCTTATTAAATACTTTTAAGAGGCGTTATTTAG